GTAAAAATTACAGCCACATCCTCAAAGGTGAAAGCCACCTGAAAAGTCACTAAATGTATTAGTGTTGGCCTTGGGGGGCTCGGCAAGATGTCATATGTGCATTGCTCTAAAGATATAAAAAGGGATGAAGGCCCAAACTACACAGCACATCCTGAAGGTCACGCTGTTTCCTAGCTCCAGGGGGAGAGAGATGCTGTTGGGGCATGTGATGGTGAGATTTCATTGACAACTTGACACAATCCAGAATCACCTGGGAAGAGAGGCTCAAGGAGGGACTGTCTAGATCAGGCTGGCCTGTGGGCATGTCTGTGGGAGATCATTTTGATTATGTTAAGGTGGGAAGACCCAACCTAACACGATTCCCTGGGTTTGTGCCCTAGACTGCATATAAAAGGAGAAAGTGGAGTCACTGAGTTTCTTATCAGGAAAAGGCCAAGCTTTACAACTTATCTATCCCCTGGGACCTTAAATAGCAAAAGGCAGGAACCCAGCTCCCAAAAGTTGTCTCCTCATTTCTAAATGCAAACCCTATACATACACACACATACATAAATGAATAAGCATAACTTTCAAATAAATAAAAATAAGTGCTGGCTGTGACCGCTCACACCTTTAATCCTAGCACTTCAAGCAGCAGAGACAAGACGGGTCTCTGTGAGTTCCAGGCCAGCCAGGGGCTACTTGGTGAGACCCTGCCTCGCAAACAAACAAACGGAGAAAAGCAGAGGAGCGCACGCATACGTGCATCTATGGCTCTCTTTTTCTGACCACGAACACACTGTAACCAGTTCTCTCAAACTCCCGCTGCGGTTGACTTCCCTGTCGTGACAGACCCGGGATTGTGAGCCAAATAAACCCTTGCTTCCCTCAACAGCCTTTGTCGGGGTATCTTATCCCAGGAACAGGAGACAAAGCTAAGACGAAGACGGGCCATAATTATGCCAGTGTGAAGGGCAGCAACCTCCCACGCAGGAGCTCTTAGAAAGTAACAAACGAGGAACACCAACTGTGGGTTGTGAGAGAGGCTCTGTCTGGGGTATCGCAGGAATGACAAAACAATAATAATAACAATGGAATAACCGATACCAATAACGTTAAGGATAGCAATTCTTCAGTTTCACTGGTCCCGCTAGTTTCCTGCCCATGCTGAATGCTTCACAAGTCCTCAGTTCTGAAGTCAGACTCCTAGAGTTTCAATCCAAGCTCCTGAAACTACCACTCCACAGCTGTGCAACATTAGGTACCTCACTTCATCTCTGAGCCTCCATTTCCAGATCAATACAGTAATTCTCACTTCATCGACAACAGCTATGAGGGAAAAACAAAACAAAACAAAACAGAAAAAGGTAAACATGGGTTAAAAAAACAGCCAGGAGACTTGAGATGAGATTTTTGAAAAATAAAGCATACCGAACTTGAGTCAGGCAGTGGTGGTGCATGCCTTTTACCCCAGCACTCAGGAGGCAGAAGCAGGTGGGTCTCTGAGTTCAAGGCCAGCCTGGCCTACAAAGAGAGTTCCAGGGCACTCAGGGTTATTAAGCAGAGAAACCCTGTCTCACACAACACTTAACTGTTTGTTTCCATTAACTTCTACAGCATGTGGTCACCTATATATCAGTCAGTGACTAAAAGATGTCCACAAATTCAAGTATATCTTTGTGTTTGTTAAGACAAGGTCACACGTAGTCCAAGCTAGTCTCAAACTTGCCATCTAGCCAGGGCTGACCTTGAACTCCCAATCCTCCTGCTTCTGCCTCTCCAGTGCTGGGACTACAGGAATAACTAAATGAGTGTGCTATCTGGGCAAATGAGATGGTCTGGAGGGGAAAAGTACTTTTCCCCCAAGCCAGGGAGGGCACCTGAGTTCAAGCTCCAGAACCCATATAAAAGTAAGAGAGATCCAATTCCGGAAAACTGTCCTTTGACCTCAAACTCATTGCTCACACGAGTGGACACAAGCTTGCACACAATCAAACACATAATTTTGTAATTTTAAAAAGTGACCTCTGGCCGGGCATGGTGGCGCACACCTTTAATCCCAGCACTCGAGAGGCAGAGGCAGGTGGATCTCTGTCAGTTTGAGGCCAGTCTGGTCTACAGAGCGAGTTCCAGGAAAGGCACAAAGCTACACAGAGAGAAACCCTGTCTTGAAGGAAAAAAAAAAAGTGATCTCTGAGCAGAAATGTTAGAGAATGGTCTTGCAGGGATCTGAGGATGATCTGAGTCAGAGGGAACTGAAAGGGTTAAAGACTGGAGGAGTAGAGAGAGGTTTTGGTCAGGTGGGTACAGCTAAACAGCAGTGAGCCAGAGAGAAAAAGGAAACAAGATAGTAAGTGGTCAGCCTGGGAGAATAAGAGACTTACAGACCATGTATGCTTGGATTATGAGTTGATGAAAATATTTAGCCTGGAACTTCATTCACCTTTCAAACCTTTAAATACCTATTGGAGGCCTGACATTCATTCACCTTTCACTCCCCTAAATATCTTTTGGAGTCCTGATATTCATTCACCTTTCAGTCCCTTAAATACCTTTTGGAGGCCTGACATTCATTCACCTTTCAGTCCCTTAAATACCTTTTGGAGGCCTGACATTCATTCATTTTTCACTCCCCTAAATACCTATTGGAGGTCTGACATTCATTCACCTTTCAGTCCCCTAAGTACCTATTGGGGGCCTGACATTCATTCACTTTTCACTCCCCTAAATACCTATTGGAGGCCTGACATTCTTGGCATGAGGAAGCTGTAAGGGGGCTAACTAGCAAAGGGTCATCCTGGAAACGGAGGGCTATGTGTGTCCTTTATTAGCAGCAGAAACAACTACAAGCAGGAACTAGTTATTAAAACAAATCCTAGTCATCTGTTGCCTATTGTTACAGAAGTTATGTGTAGGACTCTATAGATTATCAAGAGAAATAGTCATCTGGCTAACTGTAGATATGACTTACAGGCTGACTTCCAAGGTGTTTTGTTACAGAAAAGGTGGCAGGTTGCTCAGATTATGGCTCAAAGTCCTACATCTTTAGGTATGGCCTTCCCTGTCCATGTGTATAAATGACCCTCTCGGGTGCTAACTGAATAAAAAAAGAAAGAAATGGAAAGGAGATGACAGTTCCTAGGTGTGGTAGAGGGGAAAGTTTATTATGGATATGTGGAGGAGCGTAGCTAGAGACATGGACATCAGAGAGTCCAGAGTGGACATGACCCTGAGCCATGTGAGGAGAAGGGGAGGGGGACCAGGTGCAGCAGTCAGGCCAAAACAGGAGGGGTAACCAAAATGGTTGGATTATATAGGGACGGTGAGCTGGGGGAAGGGCTGCCCAGCCCCTGGGCTGGAGATGTTTAGGGTAGAGGGCGGGTACTCCAACCAAGAGGACCCTGTCACAGGTAGGGACTGAGGGATGCTAGAAGAACCTGGCAGCCAGGTCCGCTTTGGTATGTTAAACAAGCACCTCAGCCGTTTGTCTCGGCTTTGAGACCTAACACCAAGGCTGGAGATGAATTGGGTGACCATCCAGAGCCACTTTTCCTAGACAAGTACAACTACAAAGACAAACCGAGAGGCTCTCTTGACTGACAGGCTTTCGGAACCGAGGAGACATCAAACATCTCCGTCAACCCACCTGCCCGGCGTCCACCAGCGCCGACGCCATCCTGAGACCCCCGTGGGCTGTGGACCCGGTGGATCCCGTGGGCTTCGTGCCCCGGGGCAGGAGATCTTGGCTGAAGGCGGCTCGGTTCACCGCCTGATGTCCAGGACTGCCTGTCAGAGGAGACGCCCCTCAGGCCCTTTAGGAAGACTGCTAGGATTTCCACAGCGTGCCTGGACCACACCGTCGTGCAAGAATGACATCACGGCACGGCGACAGTAAGTCCCACCACCCGCTCCTCGACAGGAGGGAAGCACACTATATTAGGCCTTTCATTTGCCGAGCAAGCCGTCTGACTCGTGTGCTATGCCTTCTGGGTAATGTAGTTCTTCCTCTGCTGCCTACCTCTCTCCTCCCTGCTCCCAACCCCATTGGAGTGCCTTGGTGTTTTCCTAGACTATAGACCCAGCGTTGTGTCTTGGACACAACAATAAATACAATAATAAATATTGTTATTATTTGACATTGTTTCACTTTTAATTTTTGGGACGATCTCAATAAATTGGCCAGGTTGGCCTTGAAATTCCTCGGCGGCCCAGGCAGGCTTTGAAATCGTCCTGCCTCAGTCTCCTGAATACTTAAGATTGTAGGCATGGGTCACCAGGCCTGGCTTCAGACCCACCCAGTAACAATGCACAGCTTGGGAGGATTCGGGCACTGGGTGAGACTGCCATTCTTTCAACGTAAAATGTAGACTAGAGGGGATTGAGGGTGGGTCTGGAACCTTTGCCAAAAATCTGGGGAAATGTAAAGATGAGAAACTGGGCACTCCAGAGGACCCCAGACGTCTCTCCTTATCCACCCCCTTTTTCATTTATTACTTATTTTGTATATGTGTGGGCATGGGTGTGCCTCTGTACCTGAGTGGAAGTACAAGGACTTCGATCCCCACCACCCTGGTACAAGCTGGGCACAATGATGAGCATCTGTAGTCTCAGCCCTGGAGAGCTGGAGATAGGAGGCTCAGTGTTCCCTGACCAGCCAGTCTAGCCAAATCAGTTGAGTTTCATGTTCAGTTCAGAGACCTACCATCTCAAAACATGAGATGAAAGCCAGGCATGGTGGTGCACACACCTTTAATCCCCAAACCTGGGAGGCAGAGTCAGGTGGATCTCTGTTAAGTTCGAGGCCAGCCTGGTTGACAACTGGAGTTCCAGGACAGCCAAGGCTGTTAACACAGAAAACCTGCCTCGAAAAAAAAAACAACCAAACCAAAAATGAGATGGAGAGCAATAGAGTATCTACCTGATGTGGACCCTTCGCCTTCACCCCCTCCACCCCAACCCCCACCACACAGTTAAGACAAAAGCTTCTACCAAATTGACATACCAACTCACACAAACAGAAAGATGTTAAATCAGGTTTAATTCGCATCTTAAAAGAGAAAACAAGCAAAACAGATGAGGTAACAGAGCCTGGAAAGCTCCCTGAATAAACACAAAGGGGCAGGGCTCAGGAAGCAGGCTGACTACCAGGAGGCAGGATCCTACGAGAGTGGGCCAGGACCCAAGGGTGCTTCAGGATCTGGGCCAGGTCCAGCCGATCTGAGGGATGGTACCTAAGAAGCTTGGAGATCAAGTCTTGGGCCCCCACAGGCACTGAATGAGGAAACCTCAAATCCACCTAATGAGGCCGGGGAAGAAGAATGAGAATCTAGTTAATCTCTTTGCTTAGTTCTCTCCTTGTTCTGTCAGTATCTTCAGGGTACCTGTGGTGATATTTTCTTTGTGCTTTAACAAATAAAGCTTGCCTGGAGATCAGAGGAAAAAGCCAGCTATTGTATTAAACATAGAGGCCAGGCAGTGGTAGCACAAGCCTTGAATCCTAGCATTCGAGAGGCAGAGATTTATCTAGATCTCTGTGAGTTCAAGGCCATCCTGGCCTAATAAGACACTGTCTCAAAAAAAAAAAAAAAAAACCTAACCATAATACAAATTGCTACACAGTCTTATTAATTAAAAAAAAAAAAAACCTGGAGCCAGGTATTGGGTTGAAATCTGAAAGATCAGAGAGCAAGCCAGCCATATCTTACCTCTAGGAACTCCTCAGCCCAAGAGCTCTATCACTTCCTGTCTGTACAGACCTCCAGACCTCTGCGGTTAACTAGTGATAGGATTAAAGGCATGTGTGCCACACTGCCTGGCCTCTATGTCTAATCTAGTGGCTGTCTCTGTCCTCTGATCCCCAGATAAGTTTTATTTGTTAGAGCACAAATAAAAATTACCACCACAGGTACCCTTCTGGCTATAGCATATATAGTCTTTTGTAAACACTCCAACCCTCAAAGGCCCAGGAGCTATCACTGTCTGCCTCCACGATGAATGCCCCACATGTGGTCATCTCACCTTGAGGATGCGTTTGTATGTCTCGCTGTGAGTGCTACTCTCGAAGGGTGGATTTCCCACCAGCAGCTCATAGCAGAGCACCCCAATACACCACAGATCCACCTTCTCATTATACGTTCTCCCTTCAATCATTTCTGGGGGCAAGTAGTCCAGAGTCCCGCACATTGTCTTTCTCCTAGAGCAGGACACAGAAGGGGAGTGCTGTGTGTGCATAGGCTCAGAATGAGGGAAATCCCTGCCCCGCCCCGTTCAGTTTCCAAGGAAATGGGAGACCAAGAGCTCCTTCCTGGGCAGGGTTTCAGAAATACAATTGTTAATATGGATCAAGATTCAGAGCGGCTGTGGGAGGTGGCTCCGTGGGTAAAGCATGTGCACTGAAAGCCCCGAGGACCAGAGTTCTATCCCCAGAACCCACATAAAGCTGGGTGCATGTCTATAGTCCCTGTGCTCTTAGAGTGAGATGGGAGGCAGAGGAGAATCCCTGGAAGCCTGCAGGCCAGTAGGCCAGCTATCCTGACTATGAGCAGCCAACAAGAGACCTTGTCTCAAATAGGATGGAAGGTGAAGAGTCACACCTAAGGTTGTCTTCTGACATTCCCCCATACACATACACACACACAGAACACGGCACACATGGGCCTGCACTCACACATGTGAACACACGCATAGAATTTTTTTTTCTCTTTAAGATTCAGGGAAGGCAGATGGGGATAGTGGTGCACATCTCTAATCCTAGTGAAAGACCTCCACCAAAGGCCCAGACACAGTTCTCCCAGAAACCCAAAAGAGCTGAGGGAAGAGATAGCTTAAAAGTAAACAGAACTGAGTCTGTTCCCCCTTCCTGGAGAGGGTGAAGTCAGGTGTTTTCAAAAGAACAAAGTCAGGATGTCTGGTGGTGACCATGAGATGCCCCTCTCTGGAGATAACATGACCAGACCCTGGAGATGGGTTATAAAACTCCTAACAGGGAAAACAGATGTGCTGAAATAAGACAAAGTCCAGGCCCGGGAAAAACTGGACCAATCAAGGATGAACCCATACTAACCCCCTCCCCTCTAAGAAATTTTGTGGGTTTTGCCTATAAAAACTAACTTCCCCAAGAAAGAGCAACTCCTCCCTGCCTCCCTGCGCTGTGCGGTGACTTGTAACGGAAGTAAACCTTGCTTTTGCATTCTGGTATGCTCGTCCTCGGTGGTCTCTCTGGGGGTCACGATCTGGGCACAACACTAGCTCCTGGGAAGGTTTAGGGAGGAAAGAGTACTATGTGTGTGAGGCTAGAATGAGCTACAGGCCAGACAACATGAGAAACTGTTAATCAGAAGGTGGGGCTGTTCTTCTAAAGGACCCTAGATGGATTTCCCAGCACCCCCATGGCAGCTCACAACCATCTACAACTCCAGTTCCAGGGGATCTGATGCCTTCTTCTGGTCTCCACAGGCACCGGGTATGATAAGCGGTGTACAAAACACACATGCAGGCAAAACACCCTAGTGTGGGATAATGCTCTTGTATACTGTAAAGATTTGTCACTCCCACTGGTTTAATAAAACACTGATTGGCCAGCAGCCAGGCAGGAAGTATAGGTGGGGTGACCAGACGAGGAGAAGGCTGAGAAGAGGAAAGGCAGAGATGGAGTCAACACCCAGAGGCAGAGGAATTAAGATGAGAATGCTGGACTGAAAAAAGGTACCAAGCCAGGTGGCTAAACATAGATAAGAATTATGGGTTAATTTAAGCATAAGAGCTAGAGTTAGTTATAAGCCTGAGCAATAGACCAAACAGTCTTATAATTAATATAAGCGTCTGCATGTTTATTTGGGTCTGAATGGCTATGGGACCAGATGGGACAGAAAATTTCATTAACAACACACATGCACATAAGATTAAAAATGAAAAAAACCAAAACCCCAAACAAACCCCGAGAAGGCAAATACTGTAAGGGAAAATACACTAACTAACCCCATGCTTTCAAATGATTCAGTCAGGTGGAGTAAATCACACCGAGATAGGATGATTGCTCTAAGTTTGAGGCCAGCCTGGTCTACAGAGCGAGGAGGGAAGATTTGGAACATAATGATGGTATGTCAAGAGGACCCAGGCAAATGTAACTGATCAACACAGAAAAGTTCATTCCTGGAATGCTTGCTAATTTTACACAGAGGAATCTTACGGGCAAAGGTAAATACTAATAAAAACCAGAAAAGCTCTGTTTGGGCCTTGTTTGTGTGTGTGTGCATGCCTACACATGCATACACATACATGCACACACGCACGCACACAAACGCTCACACACACAAACACACACACACACACACACACACACACACACACACACACGACATTCAGTGTCTCTATTGCTCTCCAGTTTGTTCCCTGAAGGCAGGGTTTCTCACTGAACCTAAACCAGTCATTTTTGCCAGGCTGGCAGCCAGCAAGCTTACTTCCAGGATCTGCCCGTCTCCACCCCTCGAATTCCTGCTTACACAGGAAGTGCCCTTACTCACTGAGTCACCACTCCACCCAATTCTTTCAGTCTGCAAATGCATTTTAAAGGTATGCACTTGGAAAAGACGGTGTCCAAATACAAGCCCCTGTTTGAATCTGGGTCGTACATGTGAGAAGAATTCACCCAGGTGAAAACTCCTCAATGGTTTAAGGGTCCCACCCCTATCCCATGTGGCCTACCTGAGAGAAGGGGTATGCACAGACCAACCAAAGTCCGCGATCTTCACCTCACCCCTGAACCCCAGGAGGAGATTCTCCGGCTTGATGTCCCTGTGAATCACCTTCTTCTCATGACAGTAGGTCAGGGCATCTGCCAACTCCTCTATTATCTGTGTGAACAAAAGCAATCTGGTGGGGGAAAAGACTTTTACAGCCTCCCTGTGAGGGAGAATAGGCATTATGGGTTTTTTTTTGTTTTTGTTTTTGTTTTTCAAGACAGGGTTGATGTGTAGCTTTGAGCCTTTCCTGGAACTCACTTGGTAGTCCAGGCTGGCCTCGAACTTACAGAGATTCGCCTGGCTCTGCCTCCCAAGTGCTGGGATTAAAGGCGGGAGCCACCACCGCCCGGTGGCATTATGAATTTTAAGACTGCAAAGGAATCTCACTTCTTGAGGTAATTCCAATATTTCTTTCTTTTTTTTTTTAAGATTTATTTATTTATTATGTACACAGAAGAGGGTGACAGATCTCATTACAGATGGTTGTGAGCCACCATGTGGGTGCTGGGAATTGAACTCAGGACCTCTGGAAGAGCAGTCGGTGCTCTTAACCTCTGAGCCATCTCTCTAGCCCCCAATATTTCTTGGTGTGTATACACATGCATATGTGGAACCCAAAGACAGTCTTCAGTGTGGCTCCTTATTGTCCACCCACCTTGTCTGTGGCTTTTAAGACAAGGTCTCACTGTATAGCCCAGGTTAGCCTTGAACTCATGAGCTCCGCATGTCTCTACTTCCTGAGTTTAGGATTAAGGTATGCACCTTCATGTCCTCTTGGTTCCCCAATATCTTTACTATAACACCATGGTGATAGCTTTGAATGGACACTAAAGTGGACTGGTCCTCCCCGTGGACTTGGCAGAACAAGTAGCCAGATATAGAACCTGTGCTTAGCCAATCAGAACACTCCCCAAAGAGTCCGTCTCAAGGGAAGGCTACAGGAATCATTCATTTTGCTATCCAGTTGACCCAACTACTGCTGTTGGGATAATGGCTGCTTATGGCTTCCCTTTTAGCGCCCTATAAATTTCTAGGTACCTTTTTTTTTTCTGAGATAGGGTTTCATTATGTAACCCTACTGGCCTAGAAACTTGATATGAACCAGGCTGACCTTGAACTCCTGATCCTTCTGCGTCAGCCTTCCAAGTGCTGGAATTATAGGCCTACAAAACTACATCCAGCTAGCCTTCCAATATATGTTTATGGTTCCATTTTCTGTATGACAGAGTTGGACCTTTTATATACTATTCTTATTACATTTATTTATTGGTTTTTTTTGGGTGGTTATATGTATGTGAGTGCATGCACAGGTCCCAGGCTACCTTCTGGATTTGTTCTCTCCTTCTATACCATGTGGGCCCCAGGAGGCCAAACTTACATGATCAGCCTAGGCAGCAAAGTATACATACCCATTGAGCCAGCTTTCCAACCTAAGTTAGAATCTGATACTTGGTATAAAAGACTCCAGGTATGGTGCAGTGGCCAGCAGTCAGGTATCAGAGGCAAGAGGATCTCTGAGTTTGAGGTCAGTCTGGAATATATACAGCATTCCAGGTCAAGGCTACTGTCTCAGTTAGGGTTTCTATTGCTGCAATGAAACACCATGACCAAAGAGCAAGTTGGCGAGGAAAGGGTTTATTTGGCTTACACTTCAGCATTGCTGTTCATCCCTGAAGGAAGTCAGGACAGAAACTCAAAACAAGGCAGGATCCTGGAAGCAGCAGCTGATGCAGAGGCCACGGATGGGGTGCTGTTTACTGGCTTGCTTCCCATGGCTTGCTCAGCCTGCTTTCTTATAGAACCCAGGACCAGCAGCCCAGAGATGGCACCACCCACCATGGGCTGTGCCCTCCCCCATTGATCACTAAATGAGAAAATGCCTTACAGCCGCATCTCAAGGAGGCATTTCCTCAGCTGAGGCTCTGTCCTCTGATGACTCTAGCTGGTGTCAAGATGACACACAAAACCACCCAGTACAGCTAGTTGAGACCCTCAATAAATAAAATCCAAACTATGAACACTAATATTCTAGAACTACTACCCAGGGCCATACACGAGAAACTGGACCACCAAGTTATATCTCAGCACCCCCCAAAAAAAATTTTTAATGGAAACAGTCCAAAGCTGGGTGCGGTGGCAGATGCCTGTCTTCCCAGCAACTCAGGATGCTGCAAGTTCAAGCCAGCTTGGGATATACAGGAGTTCCAAGTCATTCTTGGCTATATAGCAAGACCCTGCCTCAGGAAAAATATAGCACCCTGAGCCAGGCATAATGGCCTATGTCTATAATAATAGTGCATGTGAGGCTCTCCCAGGAGAATCACACATTTCAGATCAGCCTGGAGATTCTGGGAAAGTCTGAGCTAGCCGGGTTACAAGATTCCCCCATATGGTGGTATTTTATTTGTACTGAAAAAAAAAGGGGGTGGGGGTGGGGGTGGTGGAATGAAGGCCAGCAAGATGGCTCAGTGGGTAAGGAAGCTTTGCCGTGCAAGCCTGGTGACCTGAGTTCCATCCCCGTCTCCCATGTAAAGGTGGGAAAAGAAAGCAGACTCTTCCCCTCCAAGCTGTCTCATGACTTCCACATATGCGGCACTATGGCATGTATCCCCCCCTCCCACATCACACCCAAACACACATAGTGAATTACGAAAAAGTGAGAAGGGGCTATTGGCAGGCACAAACACTAACTCATCATCACAGGCCAAACCCTTGGTCCCAGAGCTGCCCTCACCGTGGCTGTACGCTGCTCATCGAACGTCCGGTTCCTCTGAAGCTCCTTATAGAGCTCGCCCCCTGGAGCATATTCCAGAATTAAGTACACCCGGCGAGCATCGTGGAAGTAGTTGTACAGGCGTAGGATATTCGGATGTCTGAGGGCGGAATGAAGCGTCAGGGCAGATGACATGGCGAGCAAAGGCACTTTACTAATGCCAACCTAAGTTCCACACCCAGAATCCATACGGTGGAGCGTGAGAACCAACTCCTGCAAGTTGTTCTCCACACTGTGACACACAGGGCCCACGTGTCACCTCACCCACAATTAAAAAAAAATCTTTAATCTGGGTGGGGGTGGCACTTGCCTTTAATTCCAGCATTTGGGAGGCAGAGGCAGGTGGATCTCTGTGAATTTAAGGCCAGGCTGGTCAACAGATCGAGTTCCAGGACAGCCAGGGCAACACAGAGAAACCTGTCTTGAGAAACAAAACAAACAAACAAAATCAACTACTTGTGTCTCATTTGTGTAACCCTGGTTGGTCTGGAACTCACTGTATACACCAGGCTGGCCTTAAGCTCAGCGATCTACCTGCTTCTGCCTCCCAGGTGCTGGGGATAAAGGAATGATTTTAAAAAAATAGATGTCAGCCGGGCGGTGGTGGCGCACGCCTTTAATCCCAGCACTCGGGAAGCAGAGGCCGGCGGATCTCTGTGAGTTCGAGGCCAGCCTGAGCTACCAAGTGAGTTCCAGGAAAGGCGCAAAGCTACACAGAGAAACCCTGTCTCGAAAAACCAAAAAAAAAAAAAAAAAAAATAGATGTCACCTGAGGAGCAACAAACGGAGGTTTGACATCTGACCTGCACAAGTGTACACACACAAGACCTGGTGTGTCCGACACTGGGAGAGAATGTTACATGGTCTAACCTGAATGAGCTACAGAGAAAAATCTTCAAGGTGAAAACAAAGTGCTTAATTGGGACTCGTGGAGAAGGCCAAGTTCAGGTCAGGCCAGCAAGAGGGAAGCAGGAGCTTGAAATTCCCACCTTTGAGTCCCACACAGACCATGCTTACTGTAGGTGTGCCTGGATCTCCACTTCCCTTCGAAGCTGGTGTTCCAATCCCTCCTTCTCTATCTGGGACTTGAAGAGGACCTTCAGGGCCACAATGAAATGGTTTTCCTTGAGCCGAGCCAGGTACACGTTGCCAAATTTCCCCTTGCCCAGAGGACGCCCGATTTCAAAGTCATCGATGGTGAAAAGCCTCCTGAACAGAAGGAAAAGATGATCGCATCGCAGAGACTAGGAGAGTTAGGGACCCCCAACTACTTACTCCCCTTCCTCATTCACTCTGCTCCCAGCCCCAGCACTGGGAGTTCAATGGGGGGAAAACAGCATCTTGGATGCTGGCCCAGCTTGCTCTTCACCTGAGTGAGTCTTCTTTCTTCTAGATACCATGGCAAGGCACTCACCTAGTTGAGGTGCTGGGCTCCATCTGGCCAGTGGCTAAAGGAAAGAGGAAGAAAAACTGCAATCCTTGTCTGTGGGGGGTGGAGGTAGGAGGGTCACAATTTCAAAGTCATCCTCCACTACATAGCAGCTTTGAGGCCACTTGGGCTCCAAGAGACCCTATCAGAGACTACGGGAAGGAGAGGTTAAGAATATAAGAGAAGTGTGGGGGAGGGAGGGAGGATTGGAGGAAAGGACAAGGAAGGAGAGGGGGAAAAGAGGGACGGGAAGGAGAAAGAGAAGGACTGCAGAAGGAGAGGAAAGCGGTTGGGAAGGGAGATAGAACCGAAGAGGAGGGGCCGGAAAGGGAAGGCTGAAATTTTCAGTGCCCATGACCCCACCTGACGGCGGACCCCAGTCCTTTCTGCCCCTCCTCTCTCTAGTATCGTGTTTCTGTTTAAGACAGGGTTTCATGGTAGTCCAAACTGGCCTCTAACTGCGTCCATTCCCCTGCCTCGGCCTCCCCCGTGTTGGGATGGCACACACCAGCTACCTCCACCCTGGTTTTTGATCCCGGTTCCTATCCCTCTTACTTGTGGGCGAGGCTGTCCCCGAGGGCGGTCCCGGTCTCGGCTAAACTCTGGAGAAGAGGTGACCGCAAGCTGAAGTCCGGCTGGCTTCTTGGGTCCAGGGGCCCCTGGAAAGGAGTGGGCGAGCAACGCTCCGGCTGCGGCCTCTCCAATCGCCCAGAATGCCCCACCCCGCCCAGGACACGGGCGACTCACCTACAAGCAAAATCCGCTGGAACAGCGGCGCTCAGGCCGTTTGTAGAACGCGCCTGGTCCGGGACTAGCAGACTTCGCCTGATCCCGGTTGGTTGATCTTTCTGTCGACAACGGCATACCCAATAGGGTAGCGCCCTGGGGGTGCTCGGCCAGTAGGATGGTGGGGGCGGGACCAAAGGGTCTCTGGGATGATTTGTTTGGTAAGCGAGGTTTGCAGAGGTCAGCAGGCAGGGCGGTGGGTGTGTCAGTGCACATACAAATGAATGTCCATCAACTTCAGGGACCTCGCTGTTAGAAATACTAAATATGTGTCTTTTCTATAAGTACTATAAAATTTGTATTTATTAAGATAGGGAATTAAAACCTTTAAAAAAAGGTGGTGGTGCACGCCTTTAATCCCATTGGGAGGCAGAGCCAGGGCGATCTCTGTGAGTTCGAGGCCAGCCTGGTCTAGAGAGCAAGATCCAGGACAGGCTCCAAAGCTACACAGAGAAACCCTGTCTCAAAAAACCAAAAAACAAACAAAACAAAATTCCACCCATGTAAGGCGGTGGTGGAGCACGCCTTTAATCCCAGCACTCGGGAGGCAAAGGCAGGCGGATTTCTGAATTCGAAGCCAGCCCGGTTCGAGCAAGTCCCAGGACAGCCAGGGTTACACAGAGAAACCCTATCTGGAAGAACAAAACAGATAAGCAAAAATCCTGCCCACTCTGTACTTTTGTAGAGCGTTTTTGTTTGTAGTTTTGTTTCCACCACCATGCTTTTTTTTTTTCCCTCGAAACACGGTTGCATTATGTAGCTCTGGGTCCTGATGCTCATGTAGACCAGGCTGACCTCGAATTCACACGGAGATCAGCCTGCCTCTGCCTCCCAAACCCTGGAATCAAAAGCGTGTGCTCCACTACACCTGGCCTATCCAAGTGTTTTAATTCTCCCTTCCTAGTAAAACTTTGGTTTACGCAAAGGCTCACTGCTTTCTTCAGGAATTTGATGACCTGGAACAATAACCCTTCACCTTCCTCTATTTCTTCTTTTCAGTCTAGCCAATTTGAGTAAGATTGCAAAGTCTAACCCCAGCCAATGGGGTGGGGGGACCAAATACAATAACAACAAAAAACACCACCTGAATGAGAATTAAGAAGCAATTACATTTCTTGTCTCCACATGTGTGGGATTTTCTAAGCCCACCCAATTAATCAAGAGTGTTGGAACCAAGTCCAGGAATGGAGCCGAATGAGAATCCTGAGTGCTTGTGAGAACACTCCAAGAAAACAAGTCTTGTGACCTCAGGAATTATTCTTGGCATGTGGTTTCGTGCCCCTCCCAGGTGTAGTGGATAGGAGTGAGTTTACTTCAAAACCACTTCAAATTGAATTCATTCAGACTAGGAACAAGACAAATTTTGCAGCACATCAATTGAAAACACAGCAAGATTGGCCGAGAGGTGGTGGTGGTGCACACCATTAATCCCAGTACTTGGGAGGCAGAGGCAAGTAGATCTCTGAGTTCAAGGCCAGCCTGGTCTACAGAGCGAGTTCCAGGACAGCCATGTAAAAATACTGTCTCAAAAAAAATATAGCAAGATGATTTCTGATAGGCAGTGGTAACTGCTGTGAACAGAGGAGGAAACCTCTCCCGAATTTACACATACCTGTTGGAAAGGAAAGGAGGAAGGATGGTCTCCTGTGTGGTGCTGGGAATTGAACACAGGCTTGTGTTACACTCTGTAGATAAGAAACCCCTGGTTCTCCATTTATTTATTTATTTGGTTTTTTGAGTCAGGGTTTCTCTGTGTAGCTTTTGGAGCCTGTCCTGGAACTTGCTCTGTAGACCAGGCTGGCCTCGAACTCACAGAGATCCACCTGGCTCTGCTTCCCAAATGCTATGATTAAAGGCATGTGCCACCGTCGCCCCACTCCATTTATTTATGTTTAAAAATTCTTTTTATTAATTTTACTTACATGTATTTTGCCTGCATGTATGTCTATGTGCCACATGGCTACACTATGCCCTTGGGGACCATAAGAGAGCATTGGATCACCTAGGAGGAGAGTTACAGATGTTGTGAGCTGCCACGTGGATGCTGGGAATAGAACCTGGATCCTCTGGAAGAGCAGCCAGTACTTGTAAACACTGAGTCAATATTCGTGGGTGCACGTTTGTGTGTGTGTGTGTTGCAGAACTGTGTGAACCGAGGCCTCATTCATGATAGTCAAACATTCTCACTGACACACATCTCCATTCCCTGTCCTCTTAATTTTAAGTAAGACAGATTGTCTTCCTTTCCCTTAAACATAGATCACCCATGTAAGTTACTTATGAGGCAGGCTAGACTGACAAGCAAGTATTAGCCAAGCCTCCTTTGTGGTGCAGGTCTGTAGTCCCACCTATTGGAGAGGCTGAAGCAGCAAGATAAAAAGGTCACGTGAGAGGGCTCAGTGGCTACAAGTGCTTGCTGCCTGGTCACCTGAGTTAGATCACAGGAACCCACTTGTGGGAGGGGATAATCACTCCAGAGAGATGTCTTCTGACCTCCACACACCACCTTGGCACATGTACCCACATGCAACACACACACACAAATAATTTGTTTTTAATGTGTTTAGATGTTTTGCCTGAATGTATGATTGTGCACCACATGCATGCCTAGTACTGGAAGTGGCCAGAACAGGTTATCTGATCCTGTTGTGAGCTGCCACATTAGTGCTGATAATTAAATCAGGGGCCTCAGGAAGAGGAGACAGTGCTCATAAGTACGGAACCATCTCTTCAGCCCCATGAAAGCAAGAAAGAAAGTTCAAGTCTAGCCTGGGCAACTCAGTAAGAACCTGTCTCAAAAGCGAGTTAGGTCTGGGTGTAGCTCAGTGGTGCGGTGCTTGCCGAGTACGAGCATCACGGTAACTCTGCAGCAACAAATGGATATATGAGACACAAAAAGGCCGAAGGACTTTTACCTCTGAAACACCCACCTCACCAAGTAAACTGAGGAACTGATATCAAAGTGTCATAGATTTGTCAGGGAGATCTGTGAGACCTGTTTTTATTTTGGTCTACATTTGCTCCTTTGTGAAACAATTCCTGAGATAACACTGTAATGTAAACTAGGAGAAAGACACGGCTGAAGCTTTTCCTATATGAAAACAAAACAAAATCCCAAACCCCCATACTATGGGTCTCTTTCCTGAGTGAATTTTCATGGAAAATAAGGCTATAAAACTGGAGTCTGCTGCCAATGTTGGTCTTCAAATGACGAAGAATATTCTGCGACAGAAGCTTTTTTATTTCTCTCTCTCTCTTTTTTTCAGTCAAGACACTTGTGGAGTTTCTCTTTGGTATAAACAATCAGATGCTGAGGAATTTGTTTCCTGTGACAAAAGATTTACCTCAGAGGTTAAATTCAAGAAGCCTTTTCCTAGAAGGAGTTCTCGGAGGGTAACTGAGGTGTGTGTGGTTGTGAAAGGGCTTCTTCCCTCATGTGACGCACTGCTAGAGTTTCTCTCACTGTGCATTTTTTGATGCTGACTGAGGGATGAGCTGCGGCTGAAGGCCTTTCCACATTCACTGCACTGATACGGCTTCTCCCCAGTGTGTATAATGGCATGGCGAATGAGGTTTGTGCTCCAGCAGAAGCATTTCCCACACTCAATACATTCAAAAGGCTTTTCCCCGCTATGAATTCGCTTGTGCCTTGTAAGGCCTGACCTACGAGCAAAGGCCTTCCCACACTCCACACACTCATAGGGCTTCTCTCCAGTGTGGATGCTGAAATGACGAAAAAGGTCTTTCCGATTGCTAAAGGCTTTCCCACACTCTTTGCACTCAAAGGGTTTTTCTCCAGTGTGGGCCCTTTTATGCAAGATGAAAGTGGAGCAGTGGGTGAAGGCTTTTCCACACTCACTGCACACAAAAGGTTTCTCCCCAGTGTGAATGCGCTCGTGCCTCTTGAGGTACGACCTGTGGTTGAAGGCTTTGCCACACTCGAGGCACTCAAAGGGCTTCTCCCCAGTGTGGATCACATAGTGGTGGATCAAGGCTGCACTCTCAAGGAAGAATTTCCCACACTCACTGCACTCATAGGGCTTCTTTCCAGTGTGCGTCTGTTGGTGCCATAGGAGGTAGGACCTGTGCTTAAAGACCTGTCCACACTCAAAGCACTCGTATGGATTCTCCCCACCATGAATGACACAGTGTCTAAGGAAACCTCCCCTATGTCGAAAGACTTGTCCGTATTCTGTACACACGAAAGACTTCTCTCCCGTATGCCTCCTGCCATGCAAGACAAAATTGGAGCGGTGTGTGAAGGACTTCCCACATTCACTGCACTTATAAGGCTTCTCCCCACTGTGGATCCGCTGGTGCTGGGTAAGGTATGACTTGCGGTTGAAAGCCTTTCCACATTCCAGGCACTCGTAGGGCCTCTCTCCAGTGTGGATCATCTGGTGCTGAAGGAGATGAGTGCTCTTTATGAAGGTCTTCCCACATTCTGTACACTCATAAGGCTTCACTCCAGAGTGGATTTTCTCATGTCCAGCAAGGAGGTGTTTCTTATTAAATACCTTCCCACAGTCACTGCATTTGAAGACAGTTTCCTCTTCCTCCTGTGTGGGCGTTGGGCACAATTCCTCAGCTGTCCCTACATCATCTGGTATAGGACCCATATTCCCAGGAAGTTTCTCCCCCTGGGCCTCTGTCTCTTGTATGAAGAGTCTTTTCTGAACTTGTGATGGATCATTGCGGCCTTTGGTTTGTATCCATTGCAAGCCTCCTGGGGTTCTTGTTGTTGACTTTTCCTGGAGTGAGATTCCCTCAGACAGTTTTGGCTTGTAAGTGGTAGATCCTATGGACTTGGTTTTTCCACTGTCACCTAAAACAAATAGAATGCCCAACAGGGATTGTGAGTAACAACAACACAGGAAAAACAAAACCATGCTATTGAAAACACATGAGCGCACCTTGCCCCCCACCCCCAAGAAGATAAAAATAGTTCCTCTCTGCCTACTATATTATCTCCAAAGCCTAGGTGAGCAATTTTTTTTTTTTTTTGGTCCTTGGATTCTAAATGCTGTGAAAGGGAGATGTCGAGGGAGAGACTGGGTCAGTGGCTAGAGGAAGGCCTTTCAGGGAGCTGTTTTCAAAATTACAGGCTGGATTTGGCTTGTCAGAGTGAGACTGACACCTTGAGGTAAAATTTCTCTAAGTGAAGCACCTACTACTGTCTCCATGGAAGACATGGAACATATGATGAGAACGAAAACACCCACAGGGAGCTCAGCTTTTGTTCAGCATCACAGGAAATAACCTTCAAGTACCAGAGGTGTTCAGAATTCCTTTTCAAATTCATGATGCATTCCTACCATTAAAACCGGTAAGTGGTGTTATGATATTGTCAGTGGGAGGTCCTGGCGGGTAGAGCCAAGGTGCCCCATTGCGGGTGAGAGACAGAGATGCCAGGCAGACAGCACTCAGGGAAGAGTGTTATTTGGTGAGGGGGAAGAGAGAGGGGAAGAGAGAGAAAGGGAGAGAGAAGGGCGAGGGGTTCAAGAGGTGCGCACCTCCTGGGAGGAAAGCAGAAGAAAGAGAGAGAGGAAGGGGAGGAGTTTTTCCTTAGAATGAGGCTTTTACATCAGTATGCAGGGCGGTGCCAGAGGGGTGGGATTTCAAGGGGCAGGTCAGAATATTAAGAAGTGATTTTTCTTTTTTTCTTTTCTTTTTTTGTTTTTGTTTTTCCAAATAGGTACTTCATTTCTGGCCGACAAGCAATTTACACAGAAGGGATGACTCAGCAAAAGGCCTGGCTATACAAGAAAAGCAAATAAACTGGGTGGTGGTGGCACACGCCTTTAATCCTAACATTTGGGAGGCAGAGGCAAGCAGATCTCTGTGAGTCAAGGCCAGCCTGGGCTACAGTGTTGAGTTCCAGGAGAGTCAGGGGTACACAGAGAAACCCTGTTTTGGGAGGAAAAGGGGGTTGGGAAAGAAAAGCAGATTATATGATTTAAAGGTTTGGTTTAGGAAGCCAGACATAATGGTGGATTCCTTTAATCCCAGCACTCGGGAGGCACAAGCAGGTGGATCACTGGGAGTCTGAGGCCAGCCTGGTCTACAGAGTGAGTTCCAGGACAGCCAGGGCTACATAAAACAAACAAAAAACCAAGAAGGTTTCATTTGTACTGGAGATACTGTTCAGAGAGTAAAGACACTGCTGGCTGTGCAATTCGGATGAGAAAACTATCTTTGGAAGAGGAAGGAGCAAACCAACTCCACAAAGTTGTTCTCTGGCCTTCAGACATGTGCTACCCACCTCTAATAATAAATCTTAAAAATTAAAAAAAGAATTAACGCTAAATGCCAACTAACATATGGATGGTACCTAGCTTTAACAACTCCAAGGTAGAACATAGTGGGAAGACATGGGCAAGGGATTGACTTTTAGTGTCTGAAGGACTCTCATGAACAAGATTGGAAAGGGTAGTAGATAGAACAGAGTTGTGGATGGAAATCAGCAGAATAAGAAAGGACACCTTTCCTCTCGGTATCTGGAAGGAAACGGGAGAAATAGTTACTAGGTATGACTAATGTGAGATAAAGGCCATGCATACCCTCTTCCACATGGGCTGCACAGGTGCATTAGAACTCTCCAGGAGCCAGGTGGCAGTGGCGCATGCCTTTAATCCCAGCACTCGGGGAGGTAGAGCCAGGCAGATCTCTGTGAGTTCAAGGCCAGCCTGGTCTACAGAGTGAGATCCAGGACAGGCACCAAAACTACACAGAGAAACCCTGTCTCAAAAAAGCAAAAAAAAAAAAAAAAAAAGCAATAGGCAGATGACAGATGTTCGAGTCCCTGAACAGCTGTGTGACACAAAGCTCCCAGCTGTCCACACAGACAATGGAATGAGTGAGAAAAAGCTGCATACTGAACCACTGAGTCTGGAGTTAATGCTAACTTAGTCATACTTATTGTCGGTCGTGGTTTGAATGGCAGTATTCCCCCACAGGCATTTGAATATGTGGTCTCCAGTTGGTGGCACTGTTTAGAGAGGCTTAGGGGGTGTGACATTGCTGGAGGAAGCACATCACTAGGGGCAGGTTTTGAGGTTTCAAATGCCTTGCACCTTTCCCAGTGTGTTCATTGCTGCCTGATTGTGACTCAAGATACGAGCTTCTCTAGGTGCCAATTCTGCTGCTTGCCATCTCACTTCCCTGCCATGATGGACTCTTATCCCTCATGAACCTTAGCCGAATAAACGCTTCCTTTTATAAGTTGCCCTGGTCATGGTGTTTTATGATAGCAGTAGAAAAGTATGAATACGCTTCAAACCACTAGTGATCATTAGCTTCCCAAGAGTCACAGAGCTTGTGATGAGGAAGCCAGGTTGTGGCTCAAGCAGGCAGAGGGGGTCCCGAGACAGTAGCTTCTGAGGAGCAGTGACAAATGGGACAGGGTGGGAGAATCAAAAGAGCCACAGATCGCAGGGTTCCATGGCTTCAGATCCTGAAGTGATACACTAAGAAGCATCCCAGCAGGCTGGAGAGATGGCTCAGTAGGTAAGAACACTTGGTCTTGGGTCTGAGGAGATGGCTCATCACATGGTGGTTTACAACCATCTATAATGAGATCTGGTGCCCTCTTCTGCCCTGCAGGCACTTATGCAAGCAGAGAATACTATACATAATAAACAAATCTTTATTTATTTATTTTTAATTTATTTTTATTTTTTGGTTTTTCGAGACAGGGTTTCTCTGTGTAGCTTTGCACCTGTCCTGGAACTCACTCTGTAGCCCAGGCTGGCTTCGAACTCACAGAGATCCGCCTGGCTCTGCCTCCCAGTGCGGGGATTAAAGGCGTGTGCCACCACCGCCCACCGCCCGGCTAATAAATAAATCTTAAAAAAAAATGAACACTTGGTCTTTCAAAGGATCTGAGTTCAGTTCTCAACACTCCCATCAGGCAGCTCATAACAACAGCCTGTAACTTCAGTTGCAGGGAATCGGTGCCCTCTTCTGGCCTTTGCGGGCACCTTCACTCCTGTGGCAAATGCTCACAGACACATAAATAAAAAGAAGCTTCTCAGGAGACCCCTGGTCCAGACCTCCAGGCCCTTCCACTGGACTTTTACCTGAGCAGGTACTTTTGGAGAGGGACTCTGCCACTGCCCACGGCTCCTGCCCTTGCTCTAGCTGGCACAGCAGCTCCAGTCTGGGAACAGGATACCCTTCAGGGAGAACAAAAGAGCATACGGAGATTTTGGTGAAACAAGATAAAGACCCTCCATCTCACCGGATTTGATCTGGATCTTGGATGAAGCTGCTCCCATCTACACAAAAAAAGGTGAAACATAACTTAGATAGAAGTTTGCTATCCCATACTAAACAGCCCATCAGAAACTAATACTTGGCTGGCAAGATCACTCAGTAAGTAAAGGCACCTGTTAGAAAAACCGAGACCCTGAGTTTGATCCCTGGGACTCACAAGGTGGAAGGAAGAACCCACTCCCACCATTTGCTCTCTGATCTTCATACACTGTAGCATGCATGTACATGTGTGCACACAAAATTTTTAAAATGTAATACATTTTTTGTTTTTTCTTTTTTCCTTTCTTTTTTCTTTTCTTTTCTTTCTTTCTTTTTTTTTCTTTCTTTCTTTCCTTCTTTCCTTCCTTCCTTCCTTCCTTCCTTTCTTTCTTTCTTTTGACACAAGGTTTCTCAGTGTAATAGCTGGCTGTCCTGGAACTCACTTTGTTGACCAGGCTGGCCTTGAACTCACAGAGATCCATCTGCCTCTGCCTCCCAAGTGCTGGGATTAAAGGCATGTGCCACCATGGCAGGCTTGTTTTGTTTTTTTCAAGACAGAGTCTCACTATGTAGCTCTGGCTATCCTGGAACTCACTATGTGGACCAGGCTAGGCTCGAACTCACATAGATCTGTAGCATGAATTCTAATTGGTCTTATTAATAAAAAACCAAAGCCAGATATTGGAATAAATGCTGAAAGATCAGAGGAAGCAAGTCACAGCCACTTCTCATCTCGCCAACTCCTCAGCCGAAAAGGGAAGATCCTGTATCCACAAATCCTCAGACTAAATGCCCATGAGTCCTCAGCCGAAAATACTGAGTTCCTGTCTCTCTCGCCTTATATGCCTTTCTCCACTCAGTCATATCACTTCCTGTCCTAACCTTCTTAGTTCTGGGATTAAAGGCATATGACTCCCAAATACTGGGATCAAAGGTTTGAGCCATCACCGCCTGGCTCTATTTCTCTTTTAGACTGGATTAATCTCTTGTAGTCTAGGATGGCCTTGAACTCACAGAGATCCATATGGATCTCTGCCTCCCAAGAGCTAGGATTAAAGGTGTGTGCCACCACTGCCTGGCCTCTATGTTTAATCTAGTGGCTGGCTCTGTCCTCTGATCTTCAGGCAAAGTTTATTTATTAGAATACAAACAAATTATCACCACATTTCCCCTTTTTTGTCTAAAATAAAAGGTTATAACTAATATAAGAAAAACTATATACAATAAGTACAATAATTACATACAATATATACAGTCAAGAATTACATTAACAATGACAAGTCCACTAACATTTGACAAATTCAGAGAAAATACTCCATTATTTATCCTATTTTGGTGAATCCAAAGTGTTGTACCTAATTCACTTTCTATCCTAACTTGTATTACCAACCAAAAACTATCTTTTGATGACTTTCAAACTTATACACTTTACACCTCTTTAGTGAGTTTCTTTTCTAAATTTGTTAACAAGGAAAACTATAACTACCTAGTCTTCAACTCCATCAAAGACTCAAGAAGGAAATAATATTAACTGAGTAAGCAGGAAGTGCAAACAAGTGATTTCCAAAAAATGTGAGAAATGACAGAAACAGCTGGCTGCTTGAACAGTCACCCAAAGTTCCTCTGCAACACTGGGGCATCTATCTTCAGCCTACAGGCCTAGAATATCTGTCAGAATTATCTGTGAAGGATTTTCTGAAGGGCTGTCCCACCTTGTCTTGGCAGTTTCAGGGAAGCCTATCTACGTAAGAAAAAATCTGCCTCAAAAACCAGAACAAACAAATAAACAAAACAAAACAAAACAAATAAGTTATCTGTTTTAGTCTGTTTTTTTTCTGCTGTAACGAAAAGGATAATACAGTGAACAATATAGTAAGATAACAGGCTTAACTCACTCTTGAAGGCTGATAGTCTACCTCAGTAATCGCACTGGTTTGCTCCCGTGGTTGAGGAGAAGCAGGAGCAGATGGATGATAAGGCAGGTATGACAAAGCAAGACAGGAACAGTCATACCCTTTATAACTGACCACTCTCACAGGATTGAGTTGGGCTCCCACAAGAACAACAGTGGGTGAAGGAATCTATTAACCACTACTGTGATGGTTAACTTTGTCAACTCAATACTACGTACAATTACGTAGGAAGAGACTCTCATGAGGTATTATATACACTGGGTTGGCCTATGAGCATGCTTGTCAGAGGATTGTCTTAATTAAGTTAACTGATGTGGAAAGACTCAGCTCAGTGTGGGGGAATCATTCCCTAGGCAGGAGTCCTGAACTGTAATGAGCTACATCCCCATTCTTTGTTTTGTTTTGTTTTGCTTTTTTTCAAGACAGGTTTCTCTGTGTTGTTTTGATGCCTGTCTTGGATCTCACTCTGTAGACCAGGCTGACCTCGAACTCACAGAAATCCACCTGGCTCTGCCTCCCGAGTGCTGGGATTAAAGGTGCGCTACCACCACCCAGCAACATCCCCATTCTTAAAGTTCCCACTATCTCAACAACCTCGTGTGGAAGAACAATCCTGCCCTCACAAAAGCCTGGCACACAAAGCCAGTATGCATCTTCGCTGATGGAAGTTTTCAGTTAGATGCAATGCAAAGTTTTGAGATGTGCATGGTGGTGTATATATATGCTTGTAACCCCAGCACCTGTAAGGCTGAAGCAGGAAAATCACTACAATTATGAGGGTAGGCTAGCCGGAACTATCACTGTAGATAGTTTCACCTCAAAAAATGGAGGTGGGGGGAACTGAACAAAGTTTTATAGTGTTCTTCCTATAAGCCAAAGACTCAATATGGATTCCATTTCAGAATTTTCTCACAGCATCATAACCATTATCAAGACCATTTTATACATGGACAAGCCAAGGCTCAGGTTTCATCAAAGCGGGCTTGTGAAGGAGAATGGCTAAGACAGAATCCTGGGCCCAGCCATCTCTTTTCTACCTGCTGTTTACCCATGAGTGCAGGTACAACTGGGATGCTAATCGTGAGGATCTTAGTAACGGCAATGGAGACTGTAGAGCAACGCTGTTCCGAACCCTCTCCTGTAAGGAGTTATTTACACTGACAAGAGCCATGGAAACGGATATTCAGTATGTTCACACCTAAACAGATGATGCGGGGACACGGGGGAGTTGGATAACAGGTCCAGGGTGACACGGTTTTAAGGAGCAGAGCTGGGGGCTGGAGATAGCTCCGTGGTTAAAAGCACTCGCTGCTCTTGCAGAGGACCTGGGTTTAGTTCCCAGCACCCACATGGCATCTCACAGCTGCCTGTAACTCCAGTTTCAGGGGATCCAACATCCTCTTCTGGCCTCCATGGGCATTGCTTGCATGTGGTGCACATAATGACAAGGAGGTACATACAAATGTACAAAAATTTTAAAAATAATTGAAAGGTAAAAAAAACCAAGGAGCAACGCTGGGACTGGACACCAGAGACCTGGCTGCAGACTCTGGACTCCCAACTACCACAAAATGGAGAGAGCCACAGACACCCCACAGGGCTCAACAACAGAGATAGGGCAGTAGGTGGTGAGGAGGCAGGGCCTCAGACAGGCAGATAAATTATCTTCGGGCAGCAGAGGTCAGAGAGGGACACACTCGGTGATCACACTGCAACACTTCACTTTAATTTTAAGAAAACTGTACATTTAAGCCAGGTGGTGGTGGCGCATGCCTTTAATCCCAGCACTCAGGAGGCAGAGGCGGGTGGATCCCTGAGTTTGAGGCCAGCCTGGTGTCAGAGACCAAACATGGACCATGGAAAAGTACTAGCTAGGCCAGAGAACAAGCCCCTGCCCTAAACCAGATGCCCCCAAAGGTAAAGAACAGGTCAGGCAGGTCAGGTAGCATAGCAACAGAACAATGGGCCCCGACCAGTGACCTTACCACCTAGCAGCCTCACGACATGCCCCTCACGTAGCCCCTCACCTGCATGTCCCCCTTCACCTGCACGTACAGCACGTCGTGCACCCCTTCCCTCCTCCCCTCCCCCTCCCATGCTATATAAGCCCTGCTGAGGAGAATAAAATTTGCAGCTTGATCAGAACACACTGTCTTGCTGTCGTCCTTTCGTGTCTCCCCCGTCCCTCTCATTCTCTCCCACAGGTGGGTCGCCCCCATTGATACCCCGCTGGCCGGGGCAGCCTGGTGTACAGAATGAATTCCAGGACAGACAGGGGATACACAGAGAAACACTTTCTCAAAAAAAAAAAAAAAAAGTTTTTGTATCTGTTGAGGGTGGCATGTCATGATGTGTGCATGAATGGCAATAAGAAGACAAATTGTGGGGCTCAGCCCACCATGTGGGATCTGAGAATCAAACTCAGGTCATCAGGCTCGGTGGCAAGCACCTTTACCACTGAGCCACATCACTGGTCAGAATATTTAATGGTCGGGAAAGATCTTGTGAGAAGGTGCCAACTTTGCTGAGAAATGGTAGCTACGTGAAATGCCGCATCATGCTAAGAACTCCCCGAACAAAGGAAAATGCCTAGTGTGCTACCTTGATGGTGAGCAGGGAACCCAGAAAGACTGCCACAGGGTGAGTCTCAGGCTGAAGTGAACATGTGAAAGGAGACCATAAGGGTCTTATTTGTTTGTTTGTTTGTTTGTAAGATTTACTGTGTTGTTTATGTGTGTATCTGTCACTTCTCTTTGGTTGTGATAAAATACCATGACCAAGGCAACTTAGAGAAGGAAGAGTTCATTTGGACGGGGTAAGAGTTCACAGTAGTAGAGAGACGTGGCAGCAGGCAGACATGGTAGTAGGAGCAGGGAGCTGAAAAATCCTATCACTAACTACAAGCATGAAGCAGAGTGAACCGGAAGGAGGGTAAGGCCTTAAACTCTCAGAGCCCACCCTCAGTGATGTGCTTCCTCCTGCAAGGCTGCACTTTCCCATAACCTCTCCAAACAGCATCACCAACCAAGGCCAACTTCAATGCCTGAGTCTATGGGGACGTTTCTCACTGAAACCACAGTGTGCGTGCGTGCGTGTATGCACGTAATTCCAAAAGGACTGCCTGTGAGTTTGAGGTCACAGTGTGATTCCAGGTCAGCCCGAGCTGCAGAGTGAGAAGATCCTGCTTTTAAAAAGCTGGGGTAGGGTAGGGTATAGGGTAGGGTGGGGGGCTTGCGAGATGGCTAAGTGGGTAAAGTTGCTTGTCACCAAGGCTGGCAACTTGAGTCTGAGTTCTAAGACTCTTATGCTGGGAGGAAGGCACTAGTTTCTTCAAGTTGCCCTTTGACTCCCACACAACATGTGTGCACTTGTTAACACATGTATACATATGTGTACAAAATAAATAAAATATATTTTAAAAATATTTCTTAAAGTAGAGTAGAAAGCCTTACCCAGAGAGACCAGGAACCCAGAGATTTCCAGCATCACCTCCTGGTACAGCGTCTTTTGAGCAGGGTTCAGCTGCCCCCACTCCTCCTGGGTGAAAGCCACAGCCACATCTTCAAAGGTCAGAGACACCTTGCAAAGTCAAACAGAGGCATCAGTGTTAGCCTTGGGGTTCGATGAGAGGAGCTGGCCCATGCCTCACGGAAACAGATTAAGAGGGACGAAGGCCCAAACCACACAGGGCATCTTCACGCCCATGTTCCATTGTGGGTTTGGGGGGTTAGGGAGAAAATGCCTGGAGAACACAGAGGTGTAAGGAGAGAAGGATCCTGTGTTAAGAGTCATCAGAGCCTGGCAGCTCACACCTATAACCTCAGAACTTCAAGGCTGAAGGTAGGAAGATTGCTATTATTGCTATTATTTCTATTATTGAGCTGCACAGCAAGCTCAAGGCCAGTCTGGGCTACATGAGACTCTGTCTCAAAACAAAAAAGAAAAGAACTGGGCTGGCAAGATGGCTCAGTGGGCTAGGGCACTTGCTGCTAAGTTTGCTCACCTGAGTTCAATACCTGGGACTCATATGGTAGAAAGAGAACTGACTTCCTGAAGTCCTCTGACCTCTGCACTCAGGCTGTGACATGTATGCACATACACGCCCCATAAATAAGAAAAGTAAAAAAACCAAAAAATATACCATAAATAAATAAATACACATGAAAAAGATCACTACCCCAAACAAAGTCAACAAAAACATGTGGACTACGAGATGTGGACAGTAGGATTCTAGAAAATCAGAAGAATGAAGACATGAAGGTGATACCGAGACAGGTACAAGCAGAGCCTCTCCATGATGTTTCACAACAACAGTTCTCTAGGGCTGCCAGGATGGCTCAATGGGTAAAGCACCTGCTGTCATGTTGTTCGAATCTAGATGGTCTTTTAATAAAAAAAACCAAGAGCTAGATATCAGGGTGAAAACTGAAAGATCAGAGAAGCAGAACAGCCAGCCACTAGTTCTCACCTCTACGAAATCCTCAGCCTAAAGGGAGTGCGTTCCTGTTCCCTCACGCCTCATATACCTTTCTCTGCCGTGCCATGGTACTTCCTGGGATTAAAAGCATGTGTGCTTCCCAAGCAAAGACAAGAGGTCTCCAGTGCTGGGATTAAAGGTGTGTGCCACCACTGCCTGGCTCTGTGTCTAATCTAGTGGCTGGCTCTGTCCTCTGATCCTCAGGCAAGTTTATTAGGGTACACAGTATATCACATGTCAAGCCTGATGATCTAAATTCCATCCCTGAAACCAACATGGTAGAAAGTGAGACACAACTCCCTTAAGCTATCCTCTGATCTCCTTACCCATGCACACACATGAACGCATACACACTGAATAAATGTACAAACAAAACAAAAACAGTTCTATCCAACAATAGGAATTATTTTTAATTTACTTATTTTTATGTGCACAGATGTTTTTGCCTGCACTGATGTCTGCCTGTCTGTCTGTACGAGGGTGCCAGATCCTCCAGAACTGGAGTTACAGACTGTTGTGAGCTTCCAGGTGGGTGCTGGGAATTAAACCCAGGTCCCCTAGAAGAACAGCTGGTGCTCTTAACCACTGAGCCATCTCTCCAGCCCCCAACGATAGGAATTTTTAAAAGAGAAATTCTCCAATGCTCATTGTGAAAACTGTCTTAATTTCCCATGGCCTTTGAGGTCACCATCATCAGATGACGATGGGAGTGACTCGAGTGACAGTGAGTGACTCGAGGCTAAAGGAGCTTTACCAGCTCACCTGGAGCCACTCAGGACTACCAAAGGCATGGACTGCACACTGGCTTACGGTTGTTGTAACAGTAATTCTGACACTCTATTAACAGCAAAGAGAATCTAAAGCGACAAGCTCATTCCAAAAAGGAGTTGCAGAGCTGGAGAGCTGGCTCACTGGCTAAGAACAGTGGACCTGAGTTTGGCTCCCAGCAGCCACATCAGTATCTCCAGCTCCAAGCATTGTATGGCCTATTCTGGCCTTTTCGGGCACTTGTACTCATGTGCACATACCCTTATGCTAACATATGCTATCATTGCTGGGCGGTGGTGGCACACGTCTTTAATCCCAGCACTCGGGAGGCAGAGGCAGGTGGATCTTTGTGAGTTCGAGGATAGCCTGGTCTACAAAGCAAGTTCCAGGAAAGGCGCAAAGCTACACAGAGAAACCCTGTCTCGAAAAACAAAACAAAACAAATACTATCATTTAAGAAAAAATTTTTTTTTCATTTCTTAAAAAAGTTAGTGAGTTTGTGTAGCGTTTCCACTCCTTTTTGCTGACAAACCCATTTAATCACTTCTGAAAAATGCCCTTTTGACATGGCTAGACAAAGCACGTCTTATAGCTGGCTTCATAACTGATGTGCTTAAGTTGGTTGCGGTGGCTCACACCTGTAATCCCAGCATAGGGGAGCTGATACAGAATTTCAAATTTGAAGCCAGCCTGGGGTACACAGTAAGACCTTGTCTCAATACAAGAACAATAAGAGAGTTATTACCATCTACTGGAGACAAGTCCCTGACCAGCTTCCCCAGTAGCCTAAACCTTTCTTAGGCTTCCTAGATTCCCAGGGAAATTCCACAGTGAGACGTCTACATTTTTCCTTGCAGGATTCTGACAGCCCTGCCCCTGTTGTTAGGACACTTCAAAAACTGGGAACACAATGGTCGAGGATAAATAATACCAGCGGCGGCTCTCAGAATCAAGTCCCTTCACTGGGTATAGACAAATGGAAGTTGAAAAATACTTGGAGAAGACTACACTATTTTGCTCTTCATTTCTCCATCATGGAAACCTTATAGGTACTGCTGGGCCTTCTTAAAGGGCCAATATACCTGTATTCCTCCAAGTATGTCTCCCTGCCCGGAATGCCCTGATCTTGACTTTCTTAAACCAGTACTGTTGCACAGAGGCCTAGGTAGTCTCGGTGGATCCTTGCACCGCACAGTAGGAGTTATTAGTATGACTGGATCCCTTAGGGGAAGCATGATTTACTCTTGCAACAGCTTACCCATGACAATGTAAAAAACACACCTCTCACCTCAAAGCAGGGAAGGAGTTTATTCTGAACCCAAATATGGGTGACCACGGCCCTGGAACTCCCATTTAGGTTAAACCAAATGCCATGTTCCAAAAGTTTTAAGATACAGAGTAAAGGGCATAAAGATACTTTTCAAATACACTCACAAATACATCAGGCAGGTAGGTTTGAGCTCCGTGGAGAAACCTCTGCAATAGGCCTGCGATGCTATCTGAAGACTTTTTTTTCTTTTTTCTTTTTTTTTTTTTAAGCTTTCTGGTTTGTAGAAGCTAGAGGCTTGCTAAGTTAACACATCCAAAACATCTCGTCTATGTTTCACAAAGATGTTAGGTCAGTCACTGAGGTGGGTAAGGAATAGTTATTAAGGTGCCTAAAGATAGCCCAAGATAATTCGTAAACAGGCTCTTGACCTGCCACATTCCAATCCCTCCACCGCCACTGGCGTCCTCAATCCGCTGTCAGGTGCAGCTCCCTTCCGGAAACTCCAGTTCAAACTGAGCATCTTTCGGGAGCATCCAGGACCGCTGATGAATTAAGTCCCCTGCCCCTCGCTCCCCCAGTATCCAAAAGAATGACAACGGTAGAGCTCCATCCAAGGGGGTGCTGTCTCGGTTCCCTGAGCAGAGATTTAAAGCTCACAGGCCACTCACCTGCATGTGGTCCTTCCCGGCCGCCATAGTCGGACTTTTCGGGGGAAACCGAGGGCCTTGCAGACCTCGGCCGAATCTCCCCAAGCGCGTCCGGCCTTGGCCGGGTAACCACGGAAACCGGCTGTACTCAGGACCGCGGGATCTTCCGTGGAAATGACAAACCTGCCCCCAACCGTTGCCCTTGGGGGGTGCAGGCTGCAGGACGAGGGCTGAGAGGTCGCAGCCCGCCGGAGGACCAGACCACACAGATTCGGACGGGCTTCTGGGAAGAATTCTTATGTTCCGGTCCTTTTCGAATTCGGCCAGTGGCCTGAGAACTGACCCTAGGTTCCCGATGTTCAATCAACTTAAACCCCTTGGGAACCGATGTGCGGAGACAAAAGGCGTCCGTGGCGAGCAACCGGAAGTGCTACCCGTTCTGGTCCATTATTGGGCCCGCGTCTTCTGGGTAATGTAGTTTTTATAGTGTTTCCCACTATGTCCGACCAAACTGGGAGCTCTTCACCCAATAAGTGTGAAAGGCGCTCAAAGGTCCCAGTTTCTCGCAAATGCAGAGAAATCTAGAGGGCGGAGTTTGTGGGGAAGGACCCAGGAACAAGGGTAAGATCGCCGTTCTTCGTCCGGGGAAATCGAGGCTTGGGAGGCAAAAGGATTTTTCCCATTTTAGGGTTAATGCAACTGTGTGGATCCTGACGCTGAGCTGATCTCTCGATTTGTGCCTTTCAGATACTTCCTACCAAGATCGTTTTCTGAGCTGATGATAGAAAATGTAGCTTAACATTTTTCGTGGGGAAGATGCTGGAGTCCTCACCTCAACATATTATTCCATCATTCATCCTTACTGTCTTAGGTCTTTTGTGACCCAAAACAGCCTCCACACAGGCACGGACTTCTGGGTCACTAGATAATTGGATTTGCGGTCTCCTGACATGTGAAGGCTGCAAGGGTAGGAGGTTTAGGGGCCTCAGAGTCAATCTGATAAGTCTCTAAGATAGAAAAGTAAACAGTCATATAGACAAGTCAGCCTATGTCTGAACACGGGGAATGGACCTAAGCCTGGGCATACAAATTTGAGAGTTGTGAGCCCTATGTGGTTGGTTCACACTTATGGTCCCAGCATTCAGGAGAGTGAGTGATGCAGGAGAATTGCCATAAACACCATGGCAGCCTGGGCTACAGAGTTCTCCCTCCCCATCTATTCCCTCTTTCTTTTTTGAGATATATAAACTCTATACTCTCGACTTCCAGCCAGCCACGGCGATGCTTTCCTGTGATTTCAGCACTTGAGAAGTGGAGATAGGAGGATCAGGAGTTTGAAGTCATACTCAGCCCTATAGTAAGTATGAGGCCAGCCTGGGCTACGTGAGACCTTGTCTCAAAAAGACCAAAAACCAACAACAGAAAAATCTCCAGTTAATAACTTTCTTTAGGTTCTGAACATGAATGTGATTATCCAATTTTGGTGCCTGATTTAAGTCACTTAACATAATAGCCTTTGGTTCCTTCCATGTTGTAGCAGTTGACAAGATTTAATTATTTTATGTGACTGAATAGTATTCTGTTATATATTCACACTATTGGGGTCCGAGGAAACACTGAAGAAAGACCCCAGACTCAAATAGTATACAAGAGCGAAGAGAGTTTATTAATATTCCAGCATGCATGGGGGGTTGTTCACCTGTACAAAATGGCAACGAACCCGAGAGGAGCTTGCAGGCTCCTTTTAAGCACAGCTAGAGGAATTTCAGGGATGGTTAGGTCATCTAACATAATTGGTTAAGCAAGCAGCAGTTACATTAGTATACTTTCAGTTGACTGAGGTTTTATCTTTGGATATACTTTGGTAAATTTCAAGGGGGTTGCAGGAACTTGAGACATTGTGGGGCTGAATCAGGCCTTGTTCATGCTTTCTCCCTTGTCCCTGAATATAAGGGTGTTTGTTTAACAGCCCTTTGTTTAAGACACTGAAATTTCCCACAAAGATACATGCTCAACTATGTTCATAGTAGCATTATTTGTAATAGCCAGAACCTGGAAGCAACCTAGATACCCCTCAACTGAAAAATGGATTAAGAAAATGTGGTACATATACACAATGAACTCACACTCACCCTCCTCTCAGCCTCTCCACTGTTGGAATTAGAGATTTAAAACATCTAGAGATTTATTGTCCATTTTGTCATGCTTCCTTTTTGTTTATGCTTTTTGGGTCTTTTACATCTATACATATATTATGTACCTATTATATATTATATATAACATAAAATGTTCATATATGTACACATGTATTGTTGATCATATATTCAATATATTAACATATTAATCATAACAATATGTATACACTAATAATTCAACTGTATAACATGTAAATGATAAATATAATAAGTAATAAAATAATTATGTTGCTAATGTTATATATTTCATATATAATATGTGATAATATATAGTGTATGTATCATATATGCACTTAAGAGTTATAAGTAAGAGCCTGGAGAGACGGCTCAGCGGTTAAGAGCACTGGCTGCTTTTCCAAAGGTCCTGAGTTCAATTCCCAGCAACCACATGGTGGCTCACGACCATCCGTAATGAGATCTGGTGCCCTCTTCTGGCCTGCAGCCATGTATGCAGGCAGAACACTGAATACATAATAAATAAATAAATCTAAAAAAAAAAGAGTTATATGTGAGAAAGGAGGGTATTGGGGCCAGTGAGATGGCTCAGGAGGTTAAGGCACTTTTCACCAAACCTATCAACCTGAGTTTGATCCTTGAGACCCATTGCCCATTGTCATAGAAAGGGAAAACAGATTCTTAGCAAGTTACCCTCTGCCCACTTGTGTACCGTGGTATGCCTGCACACCACACATGCACAAATACAGAATAAATAATTTAATTAAAGAAGTAAATAAATGTAATTTTAAAAAAGAAATGAGGAAAAACAAAAGGGAAGGTATTACATTTTACTGTGTAATGTCCCCCCCACAGGATCGTATGCTTTTATAAAATTACATTTTCTTTCTTTCTTTCTTTATTTTGTGTGTACCTGTGGGCGTGGGTGAATATGTGGTAGGTGTGTGCATGCCAAGGCCCAAACGTACAGTTAGAGGACAGCCTGGAGGAGTTGGTTCTCTCCTCCCGTGTGGGTTCTCAGGGATCAAACTCAAGGAGCTTCCGCCTTGCCCTGAGTCCCTCTGCCTGCTGAACCATCCCACCAGGCCCCACTGTCGTGTACCAGAAGTTCTACAGCAGCCAATGGTACGATTTCGGAAGGCTGTGCAACCTTTAAGCATTGTGGTCTGGCTGGAGACCAGGAGAAAGCCAACTAGTACAGGGGAACAAACACAGAGGACTAGGGTGGGGAGGACGGCACATTCCAGAGAAATTCTGATCTTTCGTGGCTTTTTTTCCCCCCAGTTCCAAGCAAATCTTCCTCCCCAGGCTTGTCTTGACTTGAAAAGAACAGGAAATGAATGATTCCAAGGTGAGTTTTTAATTTTTATTTATTTATTTTGCACAGGACCGTGAACCTAGTGTACGGCAAATAGCTTTTTACTCCAGAGTTGTATCACTAGCCCCTCTGGTGAGTTTTGTTAAAATTTGAAATCAGGAGGCCTGCAGAGATGGCTCAGAGGTTGAGAGCACTTGCTGCTCTTGTAGAGGACTTGGGTTCAACTGTCCGAATGGTGACTCACAGCCATCTGTAATTGTGGTTCTAGGGAATTCAGTGTCCCATTCTGACTTCTGCAAGCCCAGGCAAGCACATGGAACACACACACACACACACACACACACACACACACACACACACACACACACACACACACATATGTAGCTAAGCATTCATACACATAAAATAAGTCTAAACAACAACAAAAACATTGGAACCCCTGTAGCTCAGCCAGGCATTGAACTCTTGATCTACTTTACTCAGGCTCCTGAGCAGCTGAGGTTACAGGCCTATACCTCAGCCAATTTTCTCTTTTTTGTGAAAGTGAAAAACATTTTGCCAGGTGGTCCTGGTGCATGCCTTTGATCCCAGCACTCAGGGAGGCAGAGGCAGGTGGATCTCTGAGTAAGAGGCCAGCCTGGTCTACAGAGCAAATTCCAGGACAGCTCGGGATACATAAAGAAACCCTGTCTCAAAAAACAAACCGAAGCAAAACAAAAACAAGATAGATCGATGGATGGATGGATGGATGGATGGATGGATGGATGGATGGATACAGAAGGGAAGAAGAAAACATTTCTAGTAAAGCTGAATATCTTTTTTTTTTCCCCCGAGACAGGGTTTCTCTGTGTAGCTTTGTGCCTTTTCTTGGAACTCACTCTGTAGCCCAAAAGCTGAATATCTTTAAATTAAAAAAAAAAATTATTTACTTTTGAGACAGGGATTCTCTGTGTATCACTGGATGACCTGAAACTCACTCTGTAGACCAGAGTGGCCTCCAATTAACAGAGATCTGCCTGCCTCTGCCTCTGCCTTAATCTTCTGGGATTAAAGTCATGCTCAAACAAATATCTGAGGCAGAACTTTGCTTTGCAGCCCAGGCTGGCCTGTAACTCTCGATCCTGCTGTTTCTGTCTCCCGAGTGCTGGGATTAAAGGTGTACAAAACCATGTCCAGACAAGGTGAACATCATTTGGCCACTGCCACCACCCATCACTTTGTCTAAAATCCATCTCCAGATATATCACTGAAATATAAATTTTCTGGAGTCTTTTCTTTTAACAGAGTTCAGTAAGATGGATGCATGAATAATCCTCAGGATTTTAATTAGATTGCATCTATTTAAAAATTCAATTTGTATACTTACCTGGCAGGGGAGACACCATGATCAAGCAGGTGGTTTTCCCAGGGCGAGGCTCACCAATTGCACTTGGGGTGTGTTGACCCCTGTGATTTCCCCAAATGCGAGAGAAACTTGACTAATAAAGTTATAAAAAATAAAAATTCAATTTGTTTTCTACCAGATCATAGTATTCAGTAAACTCAGCACACAAGGCATTGGACACATTTTTTATATTTCTAGTCCTCAGAAGCAATTGGAATCTTTTTGTTATCAGGTTTGTTTGCTTGGTTTCTTTTTGTTTGTTTTGTTTTTGTTGTTATTGTTTTGTTTTTTGAGACAGGATCTTGCTGTGTAATCCTGGCTGACATGAAACTAAAAATTTAGATTACCAGGCTGGCCTTGAACTCAGAGATCCTACTGCTTCTGCCTCCTGAGTGCTGGGATTAAAGGTGTGCACCCACCACAAGCACAGCCTTGTTATTATTTTGAGACAGGGTCTCGCACTGCACTGGAACTTAGTATCTAGCCCTGTTTGGCTTCTAACTCACAGCAATCCTCCCTCCTCAGCCTTCTGAACACTGAATTTATAGGCATTAGGCACCACACCTGCCTTCAGTGATGGATTCCTACAGATGGGGATTTGCTGTTACAGGGGAGAGTGACCTTTGAGGACATCACTGTGAACTTCACCCCAGAGGAGTGGCAAGGGCTGAAGCCTGAGCAGAGAAACTTGTATAAGGATGTGATGTTGGAGAACTACAGCAACCTGGCCTCTTTGGGTGAGGAGGGCTTTGGGACTGGGGAGGGGGTGATGGCCTGAAGTCTGAAATATACAAGGACCTTTTCCAGATTGAGCAGATGTGTTTCTGGTCCACTTTTCACTGTTGGGGTATCCTATGTGAGTCAGGATTAGGATGAAGCAGGAAAGGAGTGTGGTGTCAAGTTTTGTGGTTGTGTTACTGTTTTTCCCCTATTTTCTGTGTGTGTGTGTGTGTGTGTGTGTGTGTGTGTGTGTGTGTGTGTGTGTGTGTGTATATATATATATATAAATGAACGTGGATGTGTTCATGTCATGTCATGCCAGGTGGAAGTCAGAGGACATTTGGAGGTTCAGCATTATTTCACCCTTTGACTGTATTGGAGACCAGGTCTCTCATTCACTCCTGAATACAACTGACTAGCTGGTCCACAAGCCTTTGGGAATTCTCCAGTCTCTGCTTTGCTGACATTACAGACATGTTCTTGCCATGTCAGTTTATACCTAAGTTCTTCAGATCCAAACTCAGGTCCTGACTCTGGCATAGCCAGGACTTTACCCACAAGCCGTCACCACAGCCCTTTTGTTGTTGTTTTTGTTTAAAGATAATTTTTCTAAATTTAGTGTGTGTGTGTGTGTGTGTGTGTGTGTGTGTGTGTGTGTGTGTGTGTATGCCACATGTATTCAAGTGGCCATGAAGGCAATGAGAGGGCATCAGATTCCCTGAATCTGGGGTTGTAGGCAATTATGGGCCCCCAGAAGTGGGTGCTTGGAGCCTAACTGGGGTCCTCTGGAAGAGCAGCAAATGTTCTGAACTGCTGAGCTAATTTATTTTTATTTTTAGTTATGTGTATCTGTGTGTCAGCATGTTCATGAGTCCAGAAGAGGGATTCTCTCCAACCCCTTTCACAGTCTCTTGACTAGTACTACTGGCAGTTAGTCCCTGGTAGCCCATCTGCTTGGTGGCACAGCTGATCAGACACTTCCTCAGGGAGGCTAGACGAAGTCTAATTCCCTGAGACCAGAATGGCCCCACTTGGTGATTTCTAGCATCTTCATCTCAAATCACAAGTGTGGAAGGTTTCTCATATAACATTTCTCTGTAATACATTTCAGAAAAAGAGCAGGATATTGAAAGGCAAGTTAGGATGAACATAAATTTGGAGAAAAGTCTCAAGAGAGGAGTTGTATCCATACACAAGAAAACATTCACTAAGCAAAAAGGTACCGCACATAAAAAGATGTTTCTCCCAAGCAACGATGATGTTTCTTCAAGATTGAGGCTCTCACAATATGATCTAATTGGAAGGCATTTGAAACATTGTTTTGATAGGAATCCTTGCATAAAAAATAATTCTAATGAATATAGAAAATCAGTTGGCTCTAATTCATGGAAATCTATGAAAAACCATTTTGAATGTAATGCCTGTGGAAAGTTACTCAATTCGAAGCCACGCCTTCAGAGGCATCTGAGGATCCATAATAGGGAGAAATCCTTTAAATGTAATGAATGTGGAAGAGCATTCAAAATGCTGTGGAACCTGAATAAGCATCAGAAAACTCATCCAGAGAGAAAAGTCTATAAGTGTGATGAGTGTGGAAAAGCCTACAGGCAGAAGACCAATCTCGTTCAACATCAGAAAATTCATACCAAAGAGAAACCCTATAAATGCCAAGCTTGTGGGAAAGCCTTCTCCTGGGTGTCATCTTACATTAATCACAAGAAAATCCACAAGGATGAGAAAGCCTACGAGTGCAATGTATGTGGCAAGTCCTTCAAACAGAACTCAACATTTAGTCAACATAAAAACACTCACAAGGAGCAAAAGCCTTACAGATGTAAGGACTGTAAGAAATCTTTCATTTGCAAGTCTGCTCTTGTGAAACACCAGAGAACACACACTGGAGAGAAACCCTACAAATGTGGGCTGTGTGAAAAAGCTTTTGCCCAGAAAGCAAATGCCATCGATCACGAGAAAATCCATGCTGGGGTGAGGTCTTATGAGTGTCGTCTCTGTAACAGGGCTTTTGTCCAGAAGAAAAACCTCACTCAACATAAAAAAATCCACACTGGAGAAAAATCATATGAATGTAATAGATGTGGGAAAGCCTTCTCTCTAAAGTCAAACCTCGGAGTTCATCAGAAAATTCACAGTGGAGAAAAAGCCTATGCATGTAACGAATGTGGGAAATCCTTCAGCCGCAAAGAACACCTTGATTTTCATAAAAAGCTCCACACTGGGCAAAAACCTTATAAATGCTCTGAGTGTGGAAAAGCCTTTGCTGACAAGTCATATCTTAGTGGTCACCAGAAAAGAATTCACACTAGATAGGGACTTTGAGCACTTCAAATACATGGAAAATACATTTATGGGATGGCATGGGATAGTCATCCCCAAAATTGATGCAAAATGGCCTACACTTTTCAGTCTATCACAGAAAACACGGAGGACTTAAATTCACTGAGACCATCCTTTGAGGACAGGTTTAGCTCATTCCTTCATAGATATTTGTTTTGTCTTTTTAAAATGTATATGTTCCCATATGTTTGTCATGGGTGTAAAGATGCCTAATGGAGCCAAATGATGACATCAGGTCCCATGGTGTTGCAGGTGGTTGTGAGCTGCCTCAAATGGGGTGCTAGGAACCAACTTCATTCCTCTGGGAGAACATAATATGTTCCTAAATGCTGAATCATCTCTCCAGGCTCGTGTTTCACTTTAATATTTTATTTATATATTTTGTGTTTGAGTGAGCATTCTGTTTTGCCTGCATGTACGTCTGTGCCACACGTGTGCCTGGTACACATGGAGAGCAGAACACATTGGATCTCCTGGGATGGAGTTCCAGATGGTTGTGACTGCCGTGTAGATAATGGAATTTGAACCCAAGTCCTTGGAAGAACAGACAATGCTAGGAGCTCTTTTCCCATCTCCAGCCACACTGTTTTGCTATTTTTGAGATGAAATCTTGTTGTATTTCCCAGACTGGACTGGAACTTCGGGGCTCAGGTGATTCTCTTGCCTCAGCCTCCTAAGTAGTGGAGACTTCAGATACATGACACATGTCTGCCACTCAGCAAACATTTATAAAGTGCCTTTTGACTAACATGACTGAAGAGATACCAGTAAACTAAATCTGTCCAAAACTTTCATGGAATTTTTGGTTTATCATGGAGTTTATTGTAGTAAAAAATAACTCATGGTAGCCTTTTCTTTGATAGTTCACATCAGAAAATATATTGTTATGAGTCTGTGCTAGGTTGACAATGTATTTTGTATGGAAGGGGTTTTTGTTGTTATTAAATAAAGTTGGAATTCGAAGTGACACAGCAAATAACACTCTGTGTGTGTGTGTGTGTGTGTGTGTGTGTGTGTGTGTGCTGGAAATGGAACTTGGCCTCATGTATGGGATTTATTTACTCTAACACCAAGCTACATTCTCAATCCAACACTTTAGAATTTTTTTTTTTGAGACAGGGTTTCTCTGTGTACTTATGGTGCCTATCCTGGATCTCGCTCTGTAGACCAGGCTGGCCTCAACTCAGAGATCCACCTGGCTCTACTTCTGGGTAGAGTTCTGGGTTTAAAGGCGTGTGCCACCACCGCCTGGCCCACTTTGGAAATCTTAAACATTGTAAAAGGAAGCTAGAAGTGATGGCACATGCCTATAATCACAGAATTTGAGAGCTGGAGATGAGAGCATCGAGGCTAGCCTACAGGTGGTGAGATGGTTCAGTAGGTAAAGGCACTTATTACTGACTCCCAACAACTTGAGTTTGATTCCTGGGACCGACATGGAAGAAGGAGAGTATCCGCTCCCACAAATTGTCCTCTAACCACCTATGAATTGTAGTATACGCACACTAAAGGGGTGGAGGATGTGGAACAGATGCCTAGGTGTTTAAGACCATTTTCCTTCTTCCAGATGACCTGAGCTTGATATCCCATCACCCATGTTGAATAGCTCACACCTGCCTGAGGCCCAGCTCGAAGGGATCTGATGTTCTCTTTTGGCCTTCAGTGCACCCACAAATGAAAATACACAGAGTCCCACTGAAACAAATAAATAGAAAACCTTGTTGTTCTTAGTGGTTGGGAAGGAAGAGGAGAGGGGAGGCATGTTTTTCTGACTTTAAGTCTCTGACCTACCAGATTTTCAAAGAACTAATTCCAATACTCTTCAAATTATTCCACCAATAGAAAAAGAAGGAGCATTACCAAACTCTTTATGAGGCTGCAGTTACCCTGATATCCAAACCACACAAAGATGCAACAAAGCAAGAATAACAGACAATCACCCTCATGAACATTGATGCAAAAATACTCAGTAAAATGTTGGCAAACTGAATCCAAGAACGCATCAAAACAATTACCCACCATGACCAAGTAGGTTTCATCCCCTGGATGCAAGGATGGTTCAACATTCAAAAATCTGTCAATGTAATACACCATATAAACAAACTCAAAGAAAAAAACCACATGATCATCTCATTAGATGCTGAAAAAGTCTTTGACAAAATCCAACACCCCTTTATGAAAAAGGTCTTAGAGAGGTCAGAAATACAAGGAACATACCTAACATAATAAAGGCACTTTACGACATGCCAACAGCCAACAAAATTAAATGGAGAGAAACTCAAAGCGATTCCACTAAAATCAGGAACAAGACAAGGCTGTCCATTCTCCCCATATTTATTCAATATAGTACTTGAAGTTCTAGCTAGAGCAATAAGACAACAAAAGGAGATCAAGGGGATACAAATTGGAAAGGAAGAAGTCAAACTTTCACTATTTTCAGATGATATGATGGTATACATAAGTGACCCCAAAAATTCTACCAGGACTCTCCTACAGCTGATAAACTCCTTCAGTAAAGTGGCAGGATACAAGATCAACTCAAAAAAGTCAGTAGCTGCCAAGCAGTGGTGGCGCACGCCTTTAATCCCAGCACTTGGGAGGCGGAGCCAGGCAGATCTCTGTGAGTTCAAGGCCAGCCTGGGCTACCAAGTGAGTCCTAGGAAAGGTACAAAGCTACACAGAGAAACCCTGTCTCCAAAAACAAACAAAAACGATCAGTAGCCCTCTTATACACAAATGATAAAAGGGATGAGAAAGAAATCAGAGAAACATCACCCTTTACAATAGCCACAAATATAAAATACCTTGGAATAACACTAACTAAACAAGTGAAGGACCTGTATGATAAGAACTTTAAGTCTCTAAAGAAAGAAATTGAAGAAGATATCAGAAAAGGGAAAGATCTTCCACACTCATGGATAGATAGGATTAACATAGTAAAAAATGGCAGTCTTACCAAAAACAATCTACAGAGTCAATGCAATCCCCATCAAAATCCCAACACAATTCTTCCAGACTTGGAAAGAACAATACTCAACTTCATATGGAAAAACAAAAAACCTAGGATAGCTAAAGGAATCCTGTACAATAAAGCAATCTCTGGAAGTATCAACATCCCTGACCTCAAGCTCTACTATAGAGCTATAGTAATAAAAACAGCTTGATACTAGCATAAAAACTGACATATAGACCAGAATCGAATTGAAGACCCTAACAATTAATCCACACACATATGAACACCTGATTTTTGACAAAGAAGCCAAAACTATACAATGGAAAAAAGAAAGCATTTTCAACAAATGGTGCTGGCATAACTGGATGTCAACACGTAAACGATTACAAATATATCCACTATCTGTCACCATTCACAAAACTCAAGTCCAAGTGGATCAAAGACCTCAACATAAATCCAATTACACTGAATTTGATAGAGAAAGTAAGAAGTACTCTTGAACACATTGGCACAGGAGATCACTTCCTAATATAACACCAGTAGCACAGACACTGAGAGCAATAATTAATAAATGGGACCTCTTGAACTGAGAAGCTTTTGTAGGGCAAAAGACATGGTCAATAAAACAAAAAGACAGCCTACAGAATGAGAGATCTTCACCAACCCCACATCTGACAGAGGACTGATCTCCAAAGTATATAAAGAACCCAAGAAACTAGACATCAAAATACTGAACAATCCAACTTAAAATTGGGCTATAGAACTAAACAGAAAATTCTCAAAAGAATCTTGGCCGGGTGGTGGTGGCGCATGCCTTTAATCCCAGCAATCGGGAGGCAGAGGCAGGCGGATCTCTGTGAGTTCGGGGCCAGCCTGGTCTACAAAGTGAGACTCAGGAAAGGCACAAAGCTACACAGAGAAACCCTGTCTCAAAAAACCAAAAAAAAAAAAAAAAAGAATCTTAAATGGCTGAAAAAAACATTTAAGGAAATGCTCAACATCTTTAGTCATCAGCGAAATGCAAATCAAAACGACTCTGAGATACCACCTTACACCTGTCAGAATGGCTATGATCAAAAACACTAATGACAGTCTATGTTGGAGAGGATGCGGAGCAAGGGGAACACTCCTCCACTGCTGGTGGGATTGCAAACTTGTACAACCACTGTGGAAATCAGTATGGTGGTTTCTCAGAAAATGGAGAATTGATCTACCTCAAGACCCAGCCATATCACTCTTGGGCATATACCCAAGGAATACTCAATCATACCACAAAGATACATGCTCAACTATGTTCATAGCAGCACTATTTGTAATAGCCAGAACCTGGAAACAACCTAGATGCGGTGAACTCAAGAATGGATTAAGAAAATGTGGTTGGTACATATACACAATGGAGTATTACTCAGCAGAGAAAAACAATGGCAGCATAAAACTGGCAGGCAAATGGATGGAACTAGAAAATACTGTCCTGAGCGAGGTAACACAGACTCAGAAGGACAGACATTGTATGTACTCACTCATAAGTGGATTCTAGATACAAAGCAAAGAACAATCAGACTGCAACCCACAGATCCAGGGAGGCTACCTAGCAGAGGAGACCCTAGGATGACTGTGGCTTATAATGGGTTTTGGTTTTACCCAATCACAGGGCAAGCCTCAATGAAACATTTCACTACTAGGATAAGAATTTGTACTGTATCAAGCTGATGAAAGAAAATGCTGGCCTGGGCTGGAGAGATGGCTCAGAGGTTAAGAACATGGAATGCTCTTCCAGAGGTCCTGAGTTCAATTCCCAGCACCCACATGGTGGCTCACAACCATCTGTAATGAGATCTGGCGCCCCTTCTGTATACATAATAAACTAATAAATCTAAAAAGGAAGAAGAAGAAGAAGAAGGAGAAGGAGAAGAAGAAGAAGAAAAAAAAATGCTGGCCGTACTTTCAGGAGGGGAGGCTAAAATCTTTTTAGGTTATGGATTAGCCTATAGAAAAATGTCTGCCATAAATCAAACAGTTCACTTACACAACTGAAGTAAAACATAGCTCTCTGAACAGATGAGGATAGTTTTTTTCTGTATCCCAGAATCTAATCAATATTTATATGTATAGTTCAGCTCTCATTTGGCTTATTGGGAAATGTTATCATTTTTACTAATTTCTACAGAAAAAAAATATTTTACTGTTTTAAAATAACAATCTGTATGTTCAAGTTGTCTGTATATTATTATCTCTCCTGCAGTTGTACATAAATTGCTTTTACATTAAAAAAAACCCACAGGAAGAATCACGAGCTAAGAAACTTCAAGTGTTGTCATGAGGTATCTCCAGCAGCCATGGAAAAGGTCTAGAACCATTTTACAGAAGAGGGAATGCTTGAACTCCTGAGCCACACACTATGTAAACACAACATATCAAAGGACTATGTTTAAGAGTACAACAATGGAAATGTTTTGAAATACACAAGTGTAAACCTTCTTGACCCTAAATGAGGCCCTTGTTTCTTAGGTATTCTAAAAGAAAGAGCAGCCAAAGGTAAATAAATTGTATCTTCATCAGAAAAAAAATTTAAATATTGAAGTTTTAGTAATAAAAGACAGGGTACAATTTGTTATTTTGTTGATGTTGCTGATGTGTTATTGAATAAATGCATAATTTAACCATGTATGTCACCATCTATTAAATATTTCGTAATTTAAGTAAACTTTTTTTTTTTGACAGCCAAATCGTCTTTATTGAGAGAATGGGTCTCTAGGGGGATGATGGGCCTGGGGCCTCACTGCACAGCTTGTTTATTGGCCCTGCCTCCAGAATCTTATGGCTTCATCACATCTGGGAGCTCTGAAGGGCTGGAGAAGGGCTCAATGTGCAGGGCTTCAAAGGCATCATCTGCACCGAAGGCCAGGCCCACAGTGGCTGGGGCCTGTATCTGAGCTGTCTGGCTAGTAAAGCCACACTCGCCCAGAGTTTTTCTGTCATCAAGGAGCTGGTCATCCTTGTACAGGCGCTGCTCTTCTGGAGGCCGCTGGAGGATGTCTTGGACAACACGCTTTAGCTGGAACACGGTACTGGACTCCTTGGCTTCCGTGAAGATGGTGGTCTTGTGGCGGCGGATCATGAGAAACACCTGAGGATGGCAAGCCCGTGTCAACCCCAGCATGCGGCCCCTCTTCCCCCACTCCCCTGGCCCTGGTGCCCCTCTTACCAACACCCCCAAGCCCCAAGCGCTTTATCCCCACCATAAACTTTGATTTTAAGCAAACTTTGTTTTTACATATTTGCACTAGGCTTAACCGTGAAAACAAATATAGAAGGTCAACGCTGCTTTTTACATGGTTCATATTTGTATTTAGAATGACTATAAACTTAGTTTTGAGCACATTAAAAATATGATCATTTATAAAGTGATTGACCGTTAATTTGTATGTTTTAACTATTTTAACGGTTTACAGCAAGTTAATAGCTTTCATAAGATTAGGATTTTACAGTTTTAGACATACATTTCCAAATTATTGTTAACCTGAGTATACCTTTACAACCTCAGGAATTTATCATACAGAAATCGATTCTAAGCCAAAATATCTTGGAGACTTGTCATTGTTTCTTTAGTCTAAAAGGATGACAGTATGACTAAAGTTTCTTGTTTGTTTGTTTGTTTGTTTTTGTTTATCGAGACAGGATTTCTCTGTGTAGTTTTGGTGCCTGTCCTGGATCTCACTCTGTAGCCCAGGCTGGCCTCGTAGTCACTGAGATCCCCCTGGCTCTGCCTCCCAAGTGCTGGGATTAAAGGCATGTGCCGCTATCACCCAGCAAGACTAAGTTTTAATAGTGTTGTCTTAGTTGGTTTATATCACATGGTCATCTTAAGATGGTGATGAAATTATGTGGCATGTATTTTAACCTTAGTAAAGATGGCTACCATGCACACTATCTTTTTATCCTAAAGAGGCATCAGCTAAGATGAAGAAAAACTATATGGCTGTTATTTAAAAATATCCATTTTATATAACATGTTTTAGCAGATATAATTTTTTGTACAAGATTTGAATCATATATACATGATATATAACCAGAAATATATATATATATATATATATATATATATATATATATATATATATACGCTATAGTAAATGAAAATTACCTATGTGTTGCTCATTTTGCCTGTCAGCCTTTTGTTACAAGTTTTAAGTTAAATTTGTGTTACATAGAGAACCTCTGCCTCAAAAAAAAAACCCTCTATTCTCTATGTGCTAATTTATACATAACATCATTAATATTGAGCCATAATGTTTTTCAGGATACCCATTATGGGTCAGGGTGTGCAAACTTGGGATCCAAAGCTATCCATTATGATCAGACAACTCTGATTCTTCTAAGTCCATGCAATAAACTCTCATCCAAATTTAAATAAAGAGCAAAGTCAGTTAAAATATTTAATGGCTAAGAAACATCTAATTAATGCTGATTGATTATAGCAAGCTTAGACTTTTAAGCTATATCACCGGGATGGGTACAATCTTTGAAGGGCATGTGGAATTTGTATATAGAAGACATATTCTTGTCCTTTTAAAGTCATCTCTAAAAGCATTAAATGCAATCAAGTCATCTCTAAAAGCATTAAATGCAATCTCTATTTTTCTAGACAGGGTTTCTCTGTGTTGCCCTGACTGTCCTGGAATTCTCTGTATGCCAGTCTGTCTTCAAACTCACAGAGATTTGCCTGCATGCACCACCACCACCAGGTTGCTATTAGATTTTAAATTCTGTAGGATTTTTAGATGTACTATCAGGTATTACACAGAATGTATCTTTAAAAAATCTTAAGAGGGTAAATTGTGGATAATTATCACTAGAATCCAACTAACATGCGAATGTTATTGTAGGTGTGAAACACATAATTGACCTGTATTTTACTTAGAGGCACAATAAGTTCTATAGGCTCTTTATCAGTAAGGGATTGTTTTTGAGATACCAATTTAGCAATCACATTATTTGATAAATTAATAGCCTGCTCTGTTTTAAAAGTTACATTTTGTTGTAAAATTTAACTGAGAGCTTTCAGAAAGCAACTTAAAGATCACAGCTAGATCCCTAGGAGTGATAAACAGATTAGAGAGTTCCTATTGATATAATCCCAAAATTTTAAATTTTGCTCTTACTATGAAAGTTAAGCATTTATTTAAACATTAATTAGATGATCAGGAGAAGATAACATCCTCCATATAATGTATGACTAATATCTCTAGAAATTTGTACTGCATTGTCTTAGTGCTTTATGCCCTGATTGCAATTGTCTCTATACTCTAAGTATAGAGCTTAATGGGCTTGTTTTAATATTTTTCTCCCCTGCAGGTATCATTGATAGAGTTATTCCCACTATGAGGGAATAACAAAAAACATTCTCCACAAAGGGAGTTTTAACTGAGTCATTTCTGCTGTGAGGGAAAAAAAAATCACAAAACATTTAAACAAAAATCAAGCAAACAAACAAACCAAAAAAAAAAAAAAAACACAAAAAACCCTCAGTTCTGGGGCAGTCGAGCTAGCTCATGTTGCAGTGTTGGAGTGTTGGAGTTCCACAGGTCATTCCTTGGAACTCACTCTGTTCCACAAGACCATGGCAGTCCCAAAAGCTGCAGCCTGGAGGGCTTTGAGTTCCAGCCAGGTCACTCATGAGGGTGAAAGCCCCAATATGATTCTGTGACCATGGTGAAGCCTTGTGGCTGGAGTTACCTTTCACCCACCCTGACAAGACCTGTGAAGATGTGTGGCAGAAAAATTATTTCTCTCTCTCCCACCCTCTCTTTTTCCCCCTGAGATGTCCCAAGCAGTACATTACTATACTCCAGCTTGTAAAATGATTAACATGGAGTTTATCTCCTTTTTCATGGACTGAGCATATGAAGTTGTAGAGTTGTTGCTCTGAATATTTTGTTCCTTTAGATCTTAACAAATCTCTTAATAATTGTACAAAATGCTTTGTCTCAGAGGACTGAGCAGAACCCATGTTAATTTTCACTCTCACCTACAGTCATGACTTCTGGGTGAGAAGACTGAGTTTCCCAATCACTAAAGTCCATTTAAAGAAAACTTTTCTTACATTCTCTGAGTCGCACTTTCCAGAGCCAGTTCTGGTTCTCTTTTTGATGATGTATTTACAGGAGCCACGGGGGAAACAATGAGCCATTCTTTCTTCAAAGACAGCTCCTGTAATTGAAAAACAAAAAGCACAATACACACTTTAACTGTTGACCTGTTGAAGCTGTGCCCATTCTTTGGAACACACATTCAGAATTACTTTGCTTTCTCTTTTGCTGTCCCAATATTTAATTGTGATAGTTCTATTTATTAACTTGCTATAACCTACCATCACCTGGAAATTTAGTCTCAATGAGTTTTTCCTTGATCAGGTTGGCCTTGGTGATTTCCTTGGTTGCCTTAATTAGTATGGAAAAACCCAGAATGAGAGTGTATGGCACTATTCCCTGCTTTAGGGTACCAAAGTACATAAGAGGAGAAAACGATGTATATAACAGTAGAGAAATTATCTGCATGCATTAATGTCTGCATGTATTCACTTTCCCTCTGTTCCTAGATGTGGCTGTCATGTGACCAGCTGTTTGAAGTTCCTGCAGTTGTGACTCCCCAAAGTGATGGACTGTAACATGTGACTGTGAACTGAAATTAACCTTCCCCCTCCTGTTTCCTTAAGATTTGTTTTCCAGAATGTTTTATCACAGTAAGAGAAATGAAAACTACAAGTATCGAAAGTGAAATGTAGAGACAGTGCACATCTGGTCTCACTGGTGCCTCTGCTCTTCTCTGTCCCTCTGATGATGTTAAGACAATGAAGTTCTGGTCAAATTCTAGTTTCTCCTGCAAATGCAACTGTTAGGAAGATGAGCCTGAGTGGTCACCTCTGGTGCTGGCCTTTTTGATTGCAGATTCCAGATCCAGGTATGCAGACCTGCAGTGGTCAGATGATAAAAATCAAGTAGTATAAATTTATGAAGGGCTGAAGATACAGCTCAGTGGTTAAAGCATCCAGTATGCACAAGACCCTAAATTCAATCCCTAGAAATACACACAAGCAATTCTGAGTTTGTGACTGTATATCTATAGACAGAGATTTCCTGTCCTATGGCTGCTCTCAAACACAATGAGGCTTATATTAATTGCTCAGACTTATTGCTAACTAGCTCTTACAATTCTAAGATAAACCATAATCCTTATTTACTCTCTGCCATGTGAAGGTACCTTTATTAATTAACATGGCAGTTTCATAGACTCAATCTCCATCTAGCTGGTGTCTCCAGAGTCCACCCTACTAGGATTCTCCTAGTGTGGCTCTCCAGCCTAACCTTATTCTGTTCAGCTACTGGCCAGTCAGCTTCTTTTTTATTAAACCAATCACAGCAATCAATCTTCACAGTGTCTGAAATGATTATAACTCCAGCACTGGAGAGGTTAAACCAACACTTGGAAATGTGAGGCAAGATTGGAGTATGAGACAACAATCGCAACAAAAAGAAAAAGAAAGGGAGTGAGAAACAGTACCCACACCAAAGTAGGAAGAGAAGGGAGTTAACCTGAATTAACCAAGGCTATAGTAGACCAGTGTCAGAAACTAAACACTGCTGGCAAAAGGGTTAATGGTGCTTGCTGCCAAGCCTGACAACCCGAGGTTCATCCCTTGCACCCACATGTGGAAGCAGAGAACAACTCTTGCAAATACTTCTCTGACATACACACTTCAGCTATTGTGTGCAAGAACACAAGCATATACAATGAAATAGAATTTTAAAAACTCCAACTCCATAGGCAAGGCATGGCACACACCATTAAACCAGGGATCCAGAGGCAGGCTGGGTGATCCACTGAGTTTGAAGGCAGCTTGGTAGACACACAGAATTCCAAGACAGCCAGGTTAACACAGAAAGACCCTGACTCAAAAATATAAAAGTATAGGGGAAAATTACAAAAATACAAAAGTGTAGGGAAGAAATACACAAAACAAAATCTAGTGGAGTAGAGACAACCAGAACTCTCCTGCTTCTCCAAGAATCTGAAACAAAACATGGACATATGTTTGCAAGGAGAGGTGACATGTTGAGAGGACAGTTAGATATCAGATGAGAACTAGAAATATGGAACTTCAATTGTTTTTAAGATTCATTTTTTTGCTTTGATCTCAGTACTGGAAAGCGAGGAGCATCTGTGACTTGGAGGTTATCCTGGTCTACATAGCCATTAGAAAAAAAGCAGCATAAGAGGACAGCTACATAATAAACTCAACCTCAAAATTATTTTCAATTTCATGTGTGTGGAGGTCACCTGCCTCTCTGCATCACTTACATGTTGTGCTTGAGGAGACCACAAGAGGGTGACAGACACGTGGAACTGTAGCCAGAGAAGGTTGTGAACCACCATTTTTTAGGTGCTGGGACCTTAAAAGCCATCTCTCTCTGGCACCTGAACTTAGAATTCCTAAAGGAAACTAAAGACTCTAATACAGAAAAGTAAGGAAAGCTTTAAGCAACAGACACATTTATCCTCAGGGAGACCTCAAGCAAAGAGCAGAGTGAAGCCTTGAGATCCACAGATTCAACAACTGACAATGGAAAAACAGGTTTTATGCACCACCACACCCTGCTGCAAAAAATATCTTCTCAAAATTAGCAGAGCATGGCCCAGCAGTGGTGGCACATGCCTTTAATCCCAGTACTCGGGAGGCAGAGCCAGGTGGATCTCTGTGAGTTCTAGGCCAGCATGGTCTACAGTGAGATCCAGCACAGGCACCAAAACTACACAAAGAAACCCTGTCTGGAAAAAACAAAAACAAACAAAAAAAGATTGGCAGAGCACCCAAGCAGACATCTGAGAAGGAACATGCATGTCTCTGCCTTGAGCTTGGGGCTTAAAATTAATCAAACGCTTGTACGGAGAGACAGAATGGCAGCTATCTCCAATGCTCAACACCCCACCTCTCCATTTGGTCAGAATGAGGCCACCTCCAAAACTTCTGTAGACAAGAGGGCAGGAGATGACTTGGCTGTGACCTAAGATTTCAATAA